CAACTGGGTTGGTATGTCCCTCGAAAAGTAAACGGAGAGATGTTTGCTCGTTTCTTTGTCGTATAAATTTAGGATGTTTGGTAGATTCAGAGCTGGGTATGTCGTCTAGTGACAATGGTCCGTGCTGCTATGTATTCTGGCGTGCAGGCTTTCCCCCTGTTTGGATATTTTATCCGCTGGTCGTACACTGTAGTAACCTATACTCCATGTATTCATTGACAGGGGTTATAGTTAAGCTTGTTATAGGCGTGAATCAGACCTTTTTGATACCCTCCAAAGGTTTTCTATTTTCACTCTTGTGTGCAAGTGATATTCCTTATCCTATCATCAAATGTTACATGGTATTATCTCAAAACAATACGTATTACTAACTCGGCATCGTATTTCACATTGCTGCCATTAATGGCGATTATTTTACTTTTTTGTGTATGAATACATTTTTTCCCTTTTCATGTTTATAACAGACAATATATAGGACAGAATTTGTGTATGTAATTTACCTTACAGTGACTAATCACTCTCTAATTTTACAGGTAACCTCAAGGGAATGGACAGTTGGTGAGACTGTATCTCCTAAAATTTCGTAGATGAAATGAGCAGCTCATGAGCCGGGGATAAATACGGACCACACTGGGGCTTAGAAATTTTTTTTCGAGATGGCAGCGCTCCTCTGTATGTGCCTTTTCCTAGTGGCTGTATTTCCAGTCTCCTGTGAAATAATTGTGACTATGACTTTAAGAGAAGAGAAACCTGTCTCAACCTTAGTGGGAAATATAGCTAGCTTGAGTGACCTGCAGAGAAATATGACACCAGAAACTTTCCAGAGTCTGCGATACAGCTTCTTGGATCAAACCAAAGGAGAAGATCTTTTCCGTGTTGATAATGAGGCCGGAGATTTGTTTACTAATGCAGTGATTGACAGAGAGAATGAATGCGGATTCAACCAGGATTGCACTTTCCAGTTTGACATCGCAGCTCACTCTTCAATTAACTCTAGATTTGAAATAATATCAGTGAGAGTGATTCTTTTGGACATTAATGACCATAGTCCGATGTTTCCATCCCCAGTTGTGAACAAGAGTTTGTCAGAGTCTGCAGTGATTGGTTCCACCATACAAGTGGACGAAGCATCAGACCTTGACTCTTCACCTCAGAACGGAATCAAAAGCTACTCCATGCTCACTACAGATTCTCCATTCTCCTTCAGTGCCTCTAAAGTAAGTGATGGATTCACTCTCCAACTGACACTGAACTCAGCCATAAACAGAGAGGAAAGGGATAATTATGAGTTAAAGATAATAGCAGTGGATGGTGGATCCACTCCTAGGACTGGAACTCTGACCATCAAGATAGAAGTGACCGATGAAAATGACAATGCCCCACAATTTGACAGACAGGTGTATGACGTAAGTTTGAGGGAGGATAGGGATGTGGGCTTCCAGGTGATCCAGCTCTCAGCTACAGACGCTGATATCAAACAAAATGGACAAATTACGTATAAATTCAATCCTAGACAAAGCTTCATAGCAGAAATTGGTCAATACTTTGCAATCAATGAAACTACTGGGAAAATTAATTTGAAAAACAAGTTGTCGCAAAACACCAGAAAAAATTACAATATAACTGTGGATGCCAGTGACTTAGGTCAACCTCCAAAAGTTTCCCAGTGTGTGGTTCGTGTGTCTATAATTGATGTTGGAAACAATAGTCCATTGGTTCGGATAACCTTATTATCCACAGGCAACACCGGGGCAGTAAGCGAGACCTCTAGTGTTGGTACAGTGATTGCCCATGTTACTGTAGAAGACACTGACTCTGGATCTAATGGTATTGTCACCTGTAAAATTCTCTCTGAGGAGTTTCAGCTACAAACTGTTTTAAATAAAGGTTACATTGTGGTCATCAACAAATCCCTGGACCGTGAAATCTCTGATAAATACAACCTCACTGTGGAATGTAGTGATGAAGGAGCTCCACCTCTATCCACATCTTCTACATTAGTGGTTCCAATCTCAGATGAAAATGACAATGCTCCTGAGTTTTACAAGAATATATATCAAGCCTCTATCAGGGAGAATAATGCCTTTGGGGATGGAATCACCCAAGTTCTTGCCAGGGATCAAGATATTGGAAAGAATGCTGAAATTAGATATGTTTTACCCCCTGACTCAAAGGAAAAGTTGGCCATCAATGAAGAAACTGGAGTGATCACAGCAAACTATAGGTTTGACAGAGAAAGCATGTCCTCATATTTCTTTCATGTCCTGGCTGTTGATAAAGGGAGCCCCTCAATGACTGGAACTGCTACAATTCAGCTAACAGTCGTGGATGAAAATGACAACAAGCCAACATTCAGTGTTCCTGTATTTCAATTTTTCGTGATGGAAAACATGGGACCTCAGCTTAAAGTTGGCTCTCTCAGTGCCTCTGACCTTGATGAAGGTGACAACCAAAAAATTCTTTTTGATTTCCACCCAAATTTCAAAAATCTTCCCAGCAGTCAACTGCCATTTGAAGTTTTACCATCCGGGATAATTTCTACAAAGAGAGATCTAGATAGAGAGGATAGGAGCAAGTATTCGTTTGATTTAGTGGCTGTGGACCAGGGAACTCCACGATTAACCAGCACATGTCGAGTGGTTGTGTACGTAGCCGACCAAAATGACAATAAGCCTTTCATCACCTTCCCATTGTTTTCTAACCAGACTGTCTCAGTGTCTTACCAAGCTAATGTAGGTACAGTGATCACTCAGATTCGAGCTTACGACCTTGATGAAACAGGACCAAACAGCCAACTCAGGTACTCCATCTCAGCTGGCAATGAGAAGGATATCTTCTCTATTGGAGAAACCTCAGGCAACATCTACCTCAAGAGAACTTATGAAATAACCGAAAATACTCCATTTAAACTCAGAATCAATGTCAGTGATATGAATGTCTCACATATGAAGTCTTCATTCCGTGACTTGACCCTTGTTCTAACTCTTCCCACCGCCAGTCCTCAGGCTTTGGAAGATGGAGGAACAAAGAATATCATCATCACTATTGCTGTTGTTGCTCTCACCATCATCCTCTCAGCTGTCATCATCACTGTCATCATTATTCTCCGACGCAATGACCAGAAACTGCTCAAAAGCAAACGTTCAGATGACATAGTAAAAACAATGTACGATGCTGCCATCCCTGGGGACTGTTCATCCCCAAATATGGAAAAGAACCCCAGTGACATGGTGACTAGTATTGTAGACACACCCCGCAAGAAAAAAGAGGTCAGCTTCACCTTTGATTTGGAAAGTATACAGCTATTTCAAGGAAGCCAAACAAATCAGGAAAAGGTAGTGTTTCACATCCTAATTGATATTATATTATTTAACGTAGTTATGCGTAATCATATGCATAACTTAAAATTAATTATTAATTTCATTTGCATTTTTTTGTTTCAATGGAATTATGGAATGATGTAAATTTAAATATTTTTTTGTATTTTTTCAGAGAGAGGAAATTTCTAACAGCAAGCAGAATAATATGAAAGCACTCAATTCATCACTCCTAAACAATCTTGGCAGATTGCATAATCAGGTAATAATCATTTAATGTTATGATAATGAATAATAATTCATTTTGATTAGTTTGTCTTCTCCCCCTTTTTCAAAAAGAATACACTTAGGCCATAAAAATTAATTTCCTGGTTCTCAGGCCCTCCCTCGTCTCTTCCAAGGGTGCCTCATTGACCCTTTTTTATTGCTAAAGCAATAAAATAAAAACAACAAATCACCTCCCTCCTCATTTTTTGAGTTTGTGTACAATGTAAAAAGTTGCCTAATCATGTTTTGGAGGCAATAAATTAAAAAAAAAAAAAAAAAAAAAAGCCTCCTTCCTCATATTTCTTGAAAAAAATGCCTGAGAACCAAAGAATTAACTTTGCATGGCCTTAGAATTCTAAGTTTTGTTTTTAAAAAATACAAGCAGTATAAAAATTTTAACTTTTTCAACTTTACCTTTTATTAGCAGCACCACCTAGACAATATGAGTGATTCCTCAGGGGAGATAACTGCATCTGATAGTGGGCGAGGAGGCAGTGACCTTGACCTCTCACTTCATCTATCTAAATCAGGTAAATATATATACAAACTTTTAAATTCAGCTGAAAAAAAAAACTAATTACAAAATAATAAAAAATTATATTAATTTTTTTTTGTCTTTGATAATAAACCAATATCTCAATTTTAATGAATATGTTCTATTTTGATTTTCAGATGAAAGACAAAACAGAGGAGAATTCAAACTCAAAATGAATTCAGATAAGGGAGCCAGGCCATATGGGAACCAGTATGAAAATATAAACTATGTGAATACTCACCATACAAAGAACAATAATCAAAGGGAAGCAATTCCTGCCAGACCCCCTAGAGGTCGCTCAGACAATAAAGTGTACCTTTCTGAAGAGAGTTCCTCATCAAAGACAGATTGCTTTCCATCCTATGTATAGAGAGTGAACCATTTGACTCAAATGGGTCAGTTGTTAAAATTGTGCCAAATACTATGTTAACTTGTCTCATAGCAATTGTTGTATGCAGTCATTTTATTGAAAACCCCAATTTGTGTTTTGTACATAGTGATACATATGTACATGTAACAGTTATGTGTTCAACTGCTGAACCAGAATTATTTTTTTATGACAAGAAGTGCTCTGTACAAAATAAATAATAATATTTGGAATTGTTTTATTTTCAATTTAGAAATATGGTTTCATACTATGGAAATACTTGAGCAAAACAAATACCACTGCATGTATAATGAGCGCTAATTTCTGAAAAGGCATGGCATATTTATATAAAAATAGTACTCTGTAGTAAAGCAAATACATGTACTAGTATCAATGTAAAATTTGCTGCATGTTGTAAATTTTGCATCAAAATTTACAACAAGAAACCCAGAACAAAATCAGTCTGAATGCCGGGAAAAGTACGTTAAATTTGGCAAGAAATACGCAACTCAAATTCACCATGAAGGCAGATATTATTTTACTGCAATATGCACAAATATTTTACAGAACAAATGAAAATATTTCAATAGACATGAAAAAGCTAAATTGCTGTATACAGTGATTATCTGGACAAAAAAGTTTAAATTAAACTAAGATATTGCATTATACTTTATACATAGATTATCCGAGCACAATCGTAATTCGGCACATGTTTAAATTGAAAGTCATAAATGGGCATGTTTTAGTTTCTTCTTTGGCGGCGTTTTATCAATGATAGAGCTGCATCCCTTAGGCTCGAACTTCTTATTCCTGGTCCTGATGACATCACTTCCGGTCTCAAAGCTGTTCCGGACTGAGCCTGAACACCCATCCGAGCACGGAGCTTACTCATTAAGCTTTGGGAGTTTCCTGAATATGAAGTACACAAGACATACTTAGTATTATGCAAACATGTATTTTAATATATATATATGTCTTTTAATCAAAAGTACTCGTGTTGATTTTTTAAAAATATTTACTGTGGTATCATTCAGAGTTGTATAACTCTGGTTTTGAAACGTCATACTCATACCTGCTGCTAATTCGTGCATCTGCCCTTGTAAATCACTTGATTGGTTGGGTTTTTCTGATACATTCCTTTGCAATTCCTTAGAATCCACCTTCTCCTCACTTGCGATCTTTTGCTGCTCCTCCTCAGATAACTCGATGTTGACGTCATCAGAACTAACGTCATCCGTGACATCGTCAGTAATATCGCTGGACTCCTCACTATCTGTGTTGTTAGACATTAATCGCTCCAACTCTTCTAGTTCTTCCTTGTCCCACAATTCACGGGGAATGGCAATGCAAGAATTCTTTGCACATCTAATAAGCAAAACTTAAATTAATATTCATTTGTTTACCACCCCCTTTCTCAATAATGCAGGAAATGTTCAGTGTATACGAAATACCTGTGGAGGTGTGTCCCACCCACATGATCGTAAAGTTCTCCTATCGATGTCGCATCTTCTGATTGATCGGTGAATCGATCATCGCGAATCACCAGATTTGTATGACGACTGGTGCGATGCAAGAGTGTTCCGGGCTCATCTTTAGGTCGTAACTCTTGCTCTAAAATATCATTTTCCTTTAACAACGCCTTTTTTGTACCTAGGAGTTGTCCGATATCATCCTCAATGTCTCTAGACATTACTTCTAAATTGATATTCTGTGGAAACACAAAATTCAAAGGCATAAATGGTTTCTTTATCTTTTTACAACTCTACGTAAAGACCCCCCTTCCATTCCCCAAAACAACACAAAACAAGCACAAAAAAACCATCCCCACAAAAAAAAAATTCCCAAAAACAAAAACAAAAAAAATGCAAATTATTGTGGTATGTTAAATATTTACATCTTCTCTCAGTTCTCGAATCTCGCGCTTCATCTCCAGGTACTTGATCAGCTCTAAAATTTCTTGATCCTCTGCATCAGCTGAAAGAATAGAGGGGGATATTTAAAAAAAATCTTAGGGTAAAAGTATTGTACGGTTTAAAACATAATGTGAAATGTTACCCGGATTCAGTTGCATGCTGCGCATCTTCAGCAGAGCCATGTTCTGCACATTCTGAATCTCTAACTCATAGTGCCTCCGCTCCCCGCTGTATTTCTTGATGTCGTCTTTTATTTTGTTCTGAAATCCACAAATGTTTTTAGTAAGAAAACAGCCTTGGAAATGTGAATTGTAGGGATCGAATGATGTATTTTCTTAAGGTATGTCACGCGTCAGTTTTTTTTTTTCTTTTAGAAAAGTTCATGCAGAACCTCTCACTTCAAAATTATTTATTTTAATTCAATTTTTATAACATATTTAAAATAAACAATGTAAATTGTTCAACATCCAATTTAAAAAAAACAGCTTAAAAATTCATAAAGAAGCAAGATTTATGAGGGAGCTTTTCTTGTGGTTGAAGGAAACTTAGCAGAAAATTCATCAAATCTGCAAATTTATTGATTAAATTTCATATCTTGGAATTTTAGCCTCTCACGCTTTTAATCGGAGATTATTTTCCGTAATGAGATGCTAGGAATATTAAATCAAGTCTCAATTTATAATTTATAACAAATTTTACACCTTCCCTCAACAAACCTTGCCGAGAAGTGAAGATACATGTATATTGAAGAAGTCAAGACAAAGTTTACACTTTTTTTTCTGAAAATCGCCTATTTGGACCAAAATTTACATCACAGACCCCAACTTTTTCTCTCAGCATTTCAAGCTACTCGATACTTGTGACTTACCAGCAATTAAGTCGTAAAAAGTTTTATATATGGAAATATTTTATTGCCTATTCAGATTTTCAATACCCCAAATATGTTACTTTTTAGTGCAAAAAGGTCACACAATAATTTACGCACATTTATTTGCAATATTTGTTCAATTATGAATATTATTTAAACTATTTTACGTAAAATAAGATAATATTTGTTGCCATGGTTACATATGATAAAATATGATAAAGGTTGAAGTGACTAACCAAAGAGTTAGAATTTAAGTGCAAGTTCTTATACAAAATATAATTCTTAAAAAAATCCTTGATATACAAGTGACATACCTTATTTCTTACCCATTCATCACGGTATGAAGATTTAATTTTCTGAGCTGTATCTTTCAATTCCTGAAGACATCGGAGTTTACGGTACAAATCGCAGCGGGTATAATCTGTATGAAAATGAAGGTACCCTGTACTCTACATGTATGTTACTCGAAAACTTAAAGCTAATATTATATTATTATTTAAACAGATGGTCAGTTTTTACCATAAAGTTGGAGTTCAATCTTTTCCTCTTCTGTGAGATTTCTCTCTATCAGAGCGTTCTCCTCTTCTCCGATTCTGGGAGTGCATTGGTTGGCTAGCAACTCCTCTTCTTCATTTAAAATTGCTGTTAAGAACAAATACTTAAATTTTGCAAAAGATTTTCCTTATATGCATAACATAACACTACTAGCACGCAGTCGCCGGTAAAACTCAGTTTGCGACCGACCGTTAAATCAGCATTAACGGTCGCAAATACCAAATTAGAAGATAGTTATTCCCTAAATAACGGCTTATGAAGACAAATTGGTTAATACCAAGTACATGTAATGCATTTTAGAGTACCAACTTAGGAAAAAGGTGTGTCGATCCCAGAATTGAAAAGAAGAAAAGATGGAAAGGGGGCGGGGGGAGGGGGGGGGGTCCGACTCCCAAGTGCCTGTGTATTCAACAAGTTCTTCAGTTTATCATAATTCCATTGTTACGTCATAAACGATTAGTACAGTACCTCATAATTTTAGACGTTCAAACCGTTTAGATTTGAAGAAAAAATATCATTCCTGGGATTCACGCCATAGTACGCTATAAGTCACAAATGTAATACCTATATAAAAACAGTTTTAAAATGCTTTTTTTTTTGGTGTAACAGTAGGGACTACTGACTACGAATTAGGTACGTTATCAAATCTTCTCAACTTATCACATTGCCCCTTGGCCTTTATTGTATTTCATCCTGGATTATAAAAACCAACCACAGGCACTTGACGTAACTTATTTTTCTCTTAGGGGGTATATTTTTTAGTAAAAGAAAAATAAGTAACGTCAGGTGCCTGTAGTACATCTACATGTACCAACCGTATTTACGTCCAGATGGTAAAAAACCAAAATAATAATAATCTATCTTTATAAAAAGTAATATTTGAAAGGTTCAAACAACCTTTTTCTTCCTGCAGTCTGTTAATTTCCTGGTCTGCCCTGTGACCTTCTGCCCTAAAGGCCAATATTTTATTCCTTAGCTCCGACATAGTTCCCAGAAATTCGGACATGCCTGATGACAGGATGGTGTGATAGTCCTTCATTTGAGTAAGTTTACCCTCTCTCGCCTGGTGGCCAGACAGCACGTAAGAATTGTTCGCCCGTAACTGATTTAGATCCACCCTTAAATCGCCGACCTTTTGGCGAATTTCATCATCATCTATTTGATCTGTTTGTGTATCTACAGAGTCCTGTGTATCCTCAATGCTGCAAGCCATTGTGGACTGTCTAGTTTCTATGACGTGAAATTTGATGTTGACGTCACAAATTCATTGTTACGACACTTGATTGTGACGTCAGGAAGGGCGGTGTATATTCAGTACAAGGATCGAGACAAAGAAAAACCCTTGGAAAAAAAATTTAAGTTCTTATTTTTTTCTACTCTGATGTTGTAGTACAATCTGTTTCAAAAATAAATATTTTTCGAGAGATTTTAATCAAGGAATTGGAGTAGAACGGTAATATTAAAGTTACATGTACAAAGAATCCAAGTAAATTATCTTTTTATTAAAAATCTTGCTAGAAACACCGCATAATTTACTGTTGTTCGTCATTATGATATTTCTAAATAAATAAATAAATAGATAAATAAATAACCTCATATACATGTACTTCAAACTGTTTTCACTTGAATATAATATTATACCGGGGAAGTTCAAAGAGGAATTGTGAAATGTAGAGATGAAGGACATTACTCGAAGGCACTTGTGTCGTATACGGAGCATTCCTAGTAAAAATAATTATGGCCATGGTATTCGAAACAAATGCCAGGGACATTACTCCTAAAAACATCCCTATGATTTAGTATAAATCTTGTCATATTTTAAATGAAAAAAGATTTATTGAACATATAAAATTTCGAAATTTTAACGAAAACAACAATTTGTTCGAATAGCCTGTTTCCCTGGCTTACCCATAATGCCCCTACTTTTGCGGAGCATTATGGGTAGGTCATATTTTAAATGAAAAAAGATTTATTGAACATATAAAAGGAAAACAACAACAGGCTATTTGCCCCTACTTTTCGAAGTGAATCATTGTCAAGTTGATATCACGAGGCATTGCATAAAGTGAGACAACTTCGATAATTTTAACAGAATTGTCAAGAGTTGTCTTTCTTCAATCAGCACAATTAGATTGTTCGAATATACATGTATAATAAAAAATGAAACATTGATATGCTTATAAAATATTTATATTTTAGAAAAAAAAAGATGCACAATACTTACATGTAATGTTTTAATTTAAAATCTTGCATAGTGTTGGCGTTAGTCTTTAGAATATTGTAATGCTTAATGGAAGGGGTGGGGGTGTAGTTTACTTTATTCTTGAAACTAGAAACGTTATGAGGTCTTCTTTAATCAACCAAATTGATTGTGCTGCATTAATTTTTATAAAATTAAAATAAAGCTTGATAATTCTGCGCCTGTATCCACGTCCTCTATCTCTTGAATTCGAACTGGGACAGGCCTAGCTGCAGAACTGTAGCTCTCCGAAAAAATATATTGACAGAACAGAGGATTTGGTAATTGCTAATAGGCCTTAGTCACAGGTACTTCTTTCGGTATTGCTTTTAAACCCATAAAATTATTATACCATGGGTTTAAAAAAAATATCGAAAAAAGTGCTTGTGGTCTTTGTTCATATAAAACAGAAAAACGATCTTTCGTGTGTTTTGGGGTGGGGGTTATCATGTCTGTCTAAATACACTGAAAAAAGCTAAATAGCTTTTCTATGTACATAAAACTCTACATAATTTCACGACTTTGCAATTTTTATTTTGAAAATTATTTTTAAACAAAATAGAAATACACACAGTACACACCTGAAAACACCCGCCGAGGATTTTCTTATCAAGACCGTTTGATTCTTCTGTACGAGTACAATGATCAATTATATAATGAAAAAAGTCTTTGAAATATGCGTCTCTGATATACATTGTTTTAGTTAAGATTGTTGTTGACTATTTCATATTCGAAATAATTAAAGCTAAAATTTTAATTTGTAAAAACTTTACATTTTTAGTCAACATATTTAGGTTAAGACAGCCGAAGAGCAACAACTCTTGACTCGCAATGTCGATAATCCCGAGTTATCTACCTTTTGTCACAGTTCCTTTACCCACTTATACCTTTGCTATACATTCTTTTTAAAATGTAAAAATCAATTTTAAAAAATAACACCGGCTCATTTTCTCTGAATTTTGGCACAGAATTAGAACAAATTAAGTTCAAAAACTGTAAGGTTCTCGGGAAAATTCATTGTGTGCAAGTCCGGCTATGAGTCCTTACCCTACTTGGAACTTATACCTACTAGTACTATTTTATTATTTTCGGTTCTATAATTTGTCCACGCTGTATGTCTTTTTTAATGCTTATTTTTTTTTATTAAATGATTACTCTATCTGCTGGTGCTGATTATAATTTTTTTATACACCCCACCCTTCAAACAAGGGGTAAAAATATAAATATTTAATTACAGTGTATATACTATAAATTGATAATTATATGACTTTATTGTGTTGACCATATCGTAAAAATGCAATCGTAAAAATATTTTATTATTTTGAATAACATACAGTAAATCTCTGTCAAACGGAATTATTAATAAGAAAACTCCCAAATAGGCACCTTTATCGTCGAATTTTTAACCTATGTCCTTGATTATAAGGAAGTGAAATAAGAGTAACCTTATTCCGAAATACACGATGTACAGTATATGTATTTGACTTTTAACAGACATTTTTCACGATTTTGATATTTGATGTACATGTGCCAATTTTCCGGGCAAGTCAAATATCCAAATTATGAAAAACGTCTGGAAAAAGTCCAAGCAACTCTTTCCTAACCTAGAATTATTTTAGTAAGCTTATTGTTAGCACTCAACCTCTTTATAGATGACCTACTTTTATAATTCAGATAACAGTGGTTTTTTTTTTATAGATATCTCTTTGATAAAATTAATATAACAATTTAAAAGATCGCTTTTATATTGGAAATATTTCAGTGAAAACCTGCGCGTTTATGTACATTTGTATTTTAAACATGCACAGCTTGAAACTAATATTCCAATAATCTTGAACTTTCTTTACTTAAATTTATTTTAAGACAAAACAAGTTTAACATGTATTTTCAATTTATTAAATTCAACAACTGTAACAAAGACAATGTGTAATTTATGATAATAAACGGTAGCAGTCATGTTGTACAACGTTTTCCTGGCGTTGTTCAGTAGGTCATCAGGATGCTGGCACTGTTATACCTCTGAATGTCATGGATAAATCTAATGAGGCTGAAAAATAAAATAAAACTAGAATAAACACTACGAAGGTCGACAGCATATACATGTAGAGTTTTTTGCTATCAAGAATATTACTATTTGTATAATGTGTGAACAGAACTGCCCAATTAAAGTGCACATTTACAATTGTTGTATCAGCTGGCTGTATATTTTTTTTAAGAACTAGAAAAATATTAGAGATCTGTGCACTTAAAAATAACCCTTTTTTATCTGGATTTGTTGAACTGTGGGCTAGCAGATTCAATAGAAAGCATTAAAGGTAAAAGAGCTATTCGAAAAATTATTTAACCTAAAAACAAAATTTCTTTTGGTCAGATTATGTTTTCTTTGTCACATATTTGTAAATGACCAAAATGGTGCCAAAAGTTTAGATCAGAAACACTCTAATGAAGGAAATATCAACATTTTTAACCTTAATGAACTTGTAAAGGCCAATCTTAAAATGTAGCAAAATTTATCCACAATTGATGAATACTGAGTACTTTTTAAAAAGGTTTCCTAGAAGAGTTTATTGTCATTTTTTGTAATAAAATCTATAATAACAGAGAGGAAGAAAACAAGGTTCTTAGACTACAGTTTGATCGTCATCATTTTGGCTATGCATCTAAGTATCAAAATAAATTAAGAATGTACAGTTTAAATGTATATTATAATTATAAATACCAATAAGGACATGACACAAAAACTTTGAAAACGAATATCTTTAGTAGAAATGATATACTTACTATATTAGAGTCATCTTGAAAGGAACTTTGTCATTTCTGCTCTTTGTAATAGAATATCTTCCACACAGCTTGGGAAGATTATAATTTTTGAATACTAGTAAGGTTGGGGGTTAATGTACACAGTAATGTCAACTAAACAAAATGCACACAAGAATAGTTTCTGTGAAATAAGCACCATCAAAAATGAGATCAACAAGAGATGAATTTCCTTCCACACATAAATGTTATTGCTGTAGTTTTCATACAATGATCCTATAGGACTGGAAGATCAAGAAATTTTATGAAAATCTGTGGTGGATCTAGGATTTTTGTCAGACATATGAAGGGTTCCACTGTCCTGATGTATTATTTGAGTGTGTCTGATGCATAGCACTGTAGGGCTGGGCTTTCAAGTGTCCATGTGTGTGCTGAATAAAATTGTCAAAATGAGGAAGATGCACTTTGTTTAGGGAACCAGGGGCTTGTAGTTTGGCATACTCTGATCCTGTGTCATCTGAAATATAATAAAACAGTTCTCCATAAACACAAATACCTAGACTCAAAATAATTGTTTAATGGTTATTCATTTTAAACTTATAATAAACATTTCACAGTTGATTGATTTTTACCTTGTCTATGTATATGACTTAGGTCAAGGTCACTTCCCCCTCTTCCGCTATCTGCAGTAGTTGTGTCCCCTGAGGAATCACTGAAATTGTCTGTAGAGGGCAGTGGCTGTCTCTGTTTTTAAAATAATCATTATATTTATTCTTTTTAAAAAGCAATTTATTTTGATTGATATTTTCTATCACAAATGTACAGCAAGTTATAAATGAACTCTAGCTATTATTGAAATGTTAAAGTTTCTAGCATAGAGAATGCAGTATAAATGGTTTGAACTGAAGGATTTTTTAAAAAATTCATTAAAGGTTGAAGTTTTTTGTACTGTCAGATTGATCCATCAATTTTTAAATGACATATTAAAATTAAACTCCTGAGTTTTTCCCCTTGACACATTGAAAATTTGTTCTTTGATCAACTGCCATGAATTTTTATTTTTAGATGACTGTTTGGGTGGCAATCAATTGATTCTACACATAAAAAGGGAATATTTTATCTCAAAATGAAATATTTTCTCTATTTGATTTGTAATGGTGTACCTGTTTATGACCAGATGGTCTGTTGTTAGTTATATAGGGGGAGTTGGGAGGGAAATTTTGGAATTCTGTAGGAGCACCATCATAGTCTGGTTCAAGAACTGGGGGTCCCTGAAAAGCAACAGAATACATTTTGGTTAAACATGATGTTTACACAAATATATACATGTCATGGAGTCAATTTTAATAGAATTGATGTCTACACAATAGGCTGACCATTGTCCAGAAGTAGTTGTTGACAAATGACTAAACTATGATATTTACATAGAGTTACAGCATTGTTTGTTCCCCGAATTTTAATCCCATATTAAAACACCCCCAGGATATTATACCCCCGAATTCTTTTATTGACTACCCTGCCAGAGAGCTGAACAGCAAAGACCAGTAGAATAAATGTAACTACTAGTGTACATCTGTTGTGCAAAACCAGATTTCTGGTATTGACAGATCAATTAGGGTTCAAAAGGAAAGAATGCTCCCGCAAATAGAAGGACTTGTGAAATGTTTGACTTGTAAATTTACTTTTTTCAAATGAAGGACCCTCAAATAAAGGAACAAAGTGCCTAGGAAAGCTAAAGCTAACATTGACACCAGCAAGTCGAGTGGGATTTATGTTTTTACTCATTCCGTATGTCTTTATGAGCTTTATGGAAATCAAAGAGGTTCCAATGATCAATTTTAAAGGTTACCAAATACTTTATAAGTTTAAACTCATTTAAAAGGAATAAATCAAAAACATCAAAGACAGTTTTCTTCTCTTTTCTTTTAACTCTCTAAAGCAATAAATGATATTTGTTCACTTTTTATAAATTTTTTTTATTTATAAATTCCGTTTTTAAGAGAAAATTATTCTGATATGATTACAAATTACTTATGAATATATAAAAAAGAAGTTGAATTGACAATACTCTATGTATTTTATCTTTGCTTAAAAATTAATGTTTTTGAGTACCTAAAGGCTATTTATTATAATTAATTGTAATGAAAACTTAAACTGAAGAAATTTAAATTTCTTCCATTTTAGTACATGAATATGTGTACCAGTAAACACTAAATAATCAGCTTTAAATTAAGACTTAAAAAATTAGAACATGTAATTTTTGAAAATAATATTATACTTCAATACTCATCTCAATTTTAATTCAGCAGAAGTTTTACTTAATTACCTGATTGTGTGACCTGCCATTAAAATCTTGATTACTGAAGCCAGGGACCATGTTATGATTCTCTTCATCCAGCGTAAAACTGACTTCCTTTTTCTTCTTCTTAGTCGGTGTGTCTCCAGGGTTACACAGAACTCCGTTAATTTCTGGGGTCACCTCCATCACGACTTCTGGTACTTTCTGGTCATAAAGGGTCTTGTCTGAGTTTTGAATATAGGACTTTTTCAGCTTTTTGTCTTGGCGACAGAGAATGCAGATGACAGTAAATATGACAGCTGATATCAAAATGGTGAAGCAGACAATGATGACAGAGATTACAATGTTCTTATTTCCATTGTCTTCAAGAGCTTCAACAGTTGTTCCATTGGAATACTTCAACACAATGTAAAAGTTTGTAATATTATGCTGTGGATTATCTCCCTTGTCTTTCACAAGGACAGACACAGCGAAGGTCACATCCATATCTATTTGATAGGTTTTCTTCAGTGAGATTTTCCCTGTGTTTCTTCCAATGTAGAAAATATCTAGCTCATTACCATTATTGAAGAGATATTCTAGCTGGCTATTGGGACCCTCCTCATCCAAGTCATAGGCCTTAATGCTGGATATTTTGGAACCAACAGGAGCAAGATAGGAGATGGACATTGTGTTATTGTCTTTGGAGGGGTATACAATAAACGGAGCATTGTCATTTTGATCCCGCACTAAAACATTGACTGTAATCTCACTGCTCAGTGATGGTGAACCAAGGTCACGAGCCCAAACCTGGAAGCTGTAGCTACTACTGATTTCTCTGTCTAACGACTTGTTGGTCAGAATACTCCCATCAGTCTGAACTGTAAACGGAACATCAGAATTCTGAGACAGCTTAAACACCACATCCCCATTACTTCCTTCATCCTTGTCAGTGGCACTGACAGATCCTATCTTTGTGTAGGGATCAGAGTTCTCCAGCACAAAAAATTGGAATTCTGGTACCTGAAAGACCGGTGGGTTATCATTAATGTCACTGATATTGAGCACCACTGAAGCAGTGCTGGATTTAGGTGGATTCCCTCTGTCCAGTGCAATAACAGTAAACTTGTAAAATAGATTTGTTTCTCTGTCAAATCTTGTGTTTGCTGTGATCACTCCTGTTTCAGGGTTAATGGCAAACAAGTTGTTGGAGTCAGACGAAAGCTGGTATCTAACTAGAGCATTGAGACCATAGTCATCATCAATGGCCAGTACCTGGGTGATGAAATCTCCTACAGCATTGTTCTCATTGATGGCTGAAAAGTATATGGCCTGTTTGAATTTTGGACTGTGGTCATTTTCATCCTGAACATGGACAAGAAAATGTACAGAGGTCATCAACCTTGGGGTTCCCTGATCTTGGCATGTTACAGTCACATTATGGATAGCTTTTGTCTCCCTGTCTAGGGGAGACTTTATAAGGACAACATACCCCTTTCCCTGAACAGCCTCTAGAGCAAAGGAATTGTCAGAGATATCACAGGTCACTACTCCATTGGAACCAGAGTCTGTATCTTCCACATTGACATGAGCAATGACTAACTTTGGTTTTGAGGATTCAGAGACATTGACCATGCCTATACTGCTGGAGGAGAGGAAATTCACTCGGACTTTGGGAGGGTTGTTTCCGAAATCCTCCACTGTAATCCTGACCATACACTGAGACTCTGCAGGCTGTTGTCCCAAGTCTGTGGCCTCAATACTGATCTCATAAACCTTGCCTGCTTCATACACTAAATCACCCACTACAGAAATGTCCCCAGTGGTATCATTAATGGCAAAAATCTTCTTTATTTCATCAAGATCTGACTGGGTGGGACTGAAATGGTACCTGATTTCTGCATTTTTTCCTTCATCAGCATCTGAAGCTGACACTCTCAGGACGGATGTACCGATTTGAACCCCTTCCCTGACCTTAGTCTCATAAATACTTTGAGAAAAAACAGGAGAGTGGTCATTGGCATCTGTTACTTCCACAGTGACTGACAAAGTCCCAGAGTTAGGGTGAAGACCTCCATCAAAAGCCACTATATCGACTTGATAGGAATTTATTGACTCCCTATCCAGTGTCTTTTTTAAGACTAGTTTCAATATATATCCTCCATCTTTCTTTGTCACATTTAATCCAAAAGGCCCATCAACAGGAAGAATGGTGTAATTCTGTATTCTGTTTTTGGCACTTGAGTCTGAATCTGATGCACCGTCTATTCCAATGGTGGTTCCCACTGCTTCCGATTCAGAAATTTGCACCGTAATAACATTTGGATCAAATGTAGGACTTCTGTCATTAACATCCAGAATAATAATATTCACAGAAATAATCTCATATCTTGTGCTAACAGTGGATCGCACCATCACATCGAAATCGAGAGAGCACACCTCCTTAAAGCTGCACTCCGTTTCTCTGTCAATCACAACTGCTGTGTAAATGTTTCCATTGTCATTATTGATAGTGAACAAGGAAGCCATTTTGGTTTGGTCCAAAAAATCATATTTCAGGCTTTTGAATTCTTCATTTGTCATGTTGCTGGCAAGTTCACTCTCTGTGGCAATGTTTCCTATCAGAGTGTCTATTGGCTCTTCTTCCTGAAGAGTGAAACTGATGGATCCCAAACAAATTGGCAAGAAAAGGAGAAAAACTACAGTCCTAGCTGGAGTCATGATTTCCGGGTGGATTTTAGTGTCTCACATAACAAAACTTCCCTGTAAAATAATAAAATAAAAATCTTTTAAAATATATCATTGAAAAAAAAATCAAGTGTCTACCAATTTCTGAAAAAAGCATACAAACTGTACAATTCCATGTATTATGAGCTTGTTGGTGCAAAGAGAATTTTTCAATTAACCCATTAACCCTGGAAAGTGACCTCTCTCAATCCCTTCATCTCAAACTTTTTTTCACATTTTAAACACCAGCGGAGTTTGTAACAGTTTACTTAAGGAACAGTGACTAACCTTGTCAACTATAACTCTGACATTAATAATCTAATGTTCAGCCAGAAGCATCATTACTGTCACCGGGGAGCTTTACAACCCAGACATGTCCCCCCTGACATTGTCGTGAGCCCCCTGGTGGCCCCGGTGATGGGGGACTTTCTATTAATATTAGGGATTTAGATGGAACGATATTCAATAATACCAGCCCTATACCTGGGATTATAGAAGCAATATGAATTATGATTGTTTATCTGGGAACCTTGTTGATAAGTCTTGTAGGATCTTACCAGAAAGTTAGGATGACTGATAAGCCAACAATGAAATTTATTAAAAACATTCCTGTCCGACCCGCAAAAACAATACATAGCTAACGGCAGACATGATGGTTAGCAAGACAGGCAGAAAAATAAATGAGGGAATTGATTTTTATTACCTTGGTCATTTAAAATATTTATCTGTCACAGAACAAACATTTTGTTTCTACAGATGTAAACTTCAAAGAAAATTCCGCTCTAAAATATTGGTATTTCATTATGTTGTATTATCATTTAAATGAATGTAACATTTATTTATACAGATATAAAAGATTCTCTCGAGATGAAACAATGGTTTAACCAGCAATGATAGCACTGGCATTTATCTGTATAAAGTTTGCCTTACTGATCCTTGCAGGATTATAAACAGAAGCAATCGTCAACTTTTGTCAACTTTTCTTGACCACTGCTAACAAATTACAAGATAATCTGAAGGTTCTTAGTCATTTAGTACATAAACAAGTTTAGTATTTTAATTCCCATCAATCCTAAATTTTTGTGTGAACCTTTACTATTGCATAATTCGTTTGATCCAACGACTGTATTGAGAAAATACTTAACATTTCTGATAACTTGAGGAAAATCTGTACATCGTTTTTTAAGACTCATTCATGTAAATTTTTCTTTTTTTTTTTCTTATTATATTATCATTATATCATCATTAAATATTATATGAATTTAATCATTTGAGAAAGTTAAGAAAAGTTAAAATTAATTCAGAACAATAAATATAAAAATCTAAACATTTTGATATTATAATACTTACATACAGAACAAAAGTCAAATGGATAAAATTACTGATTAATTGATTGAATGATTTATGCATCTATACATATTTATTGACAGAAATAAATACCGGGTATATGATTTCAATTCTTTTTCATGTGTTGCTCGTCCATTGTTAATACAATTTCAACCCTTAATTGAAAAATGTTGTTTAATGAGATTTGCAAATTGCTACAACTATATTGATTTTCATTGTTAAAATTAACGACGAAAGTAAATTGATTACCATTAAGCTAATCAAGAAAAATAAACTTTTTACCTTGATCTTGAGTATGTCCGACTGAACAGTCCTGGTCAGTTTCTGTGAAGTGGACCCTGTAAGGAAATATACGAGATGTTAGGACAACACTTAAGAGGTGTTTGACATGAGGGGATACTGGTAAAAAGACTCGGTAGGTATAATCTAGTGTGACTCTCACTCCGAAAGTGTCAATATTGTCCCAAAAATGCTACAATGACCATTTAAATCCTCCTTACAAAACAGGAAGCATGGCAAATATTGACTGCTGGGCTTGTTGACTTTGTTTGTTTGTTTGTCTGTCAATTAGAGCCTTTGGTCAGAAGCTGTGAGGCCCCTCTCTATACCTGGGTCACAGGAAATCCAGGTGTCAGAGGAACCAGGGTTGGTGGGGGGTTACACAGGGCCCCACGGGGAGGTTTAAAGTCTTTCAACAGTTTCAATCAAACACTTCCTTTAATTCTATTGTTTGACTGATTGAAATGTCTAAATTACTGAATAGTAATAAACAAGCACGGCAGGGGTCATATTGGATGAGAATTAAGTCGTATATCTTCTTAAAGAAAACACCTGTATTTACATGTAAATGTGCAATATGTTAGAACCGAATGTCTCAAATATTTTAATATTAATAATTTTCTCTTCGTAAAATAAATTCAGAGAAGACAGTAAATGTAATTTGAATGTACATGATGTATATGATGTGAAAATGTGGTTACTTTTAATGTTCTTAAAGAAATAAAACTTAAAAGACAATTAGCTCAACAAACATGTACTTTAAAATATGCTGTTGAAAAAAAAACACAATGTAAAATGTAATTGTGTTAATTAATGCAACTTTCAGATATTTAGCATTGTTTTCTTTTACTCTGTATGTAGGTCAAGAATATTTGACATTTCTTCTTTAGTGAAATTAAATGATTTAGATGTATAACAACATCCGGTACCATTAGGAAAATTACCCCATTACATATTTTAATTCTGCTTTTATGTAATATAATGTACATCTATGTAGGTACATCTTAATTTCTAGTGTTTGTGTTCCCCGTTCTTTTCTAACTTAATCATTAATCACATACTTCAAGAAGGTGTAGATAATCCTAACAACTTAATGGGAATTAACCTGTCTGCGTCAACAAATGTCATCAAATAATTAAACATCTCAAGAGTTATCTCCCCTTTGTGTCGTATTAAGCTGTAGGTTTTAACACTGTAAAAATTCACACCTAGAAAAACGGCATATTTTGTCTTTGTTAATATCTGCTATAAAATCTGTGTTTCGCGAAAATATTTTTTTTCATTTTTGCTAAAGCCGAAAATTTTATTGCATATTGTGATAAGAGAACATTGTCCCCATGTTGAGATTTGACGTACATGGCACTTTACGATGGACACACATCATGTATATTTCAAAATAAATGTAAATTAAAAATACAACATTAATTAAAAATAATACAGGAGGAAAGTTCTCTTCAAATTGATAAAAAATGGAAATTATATCAGATACATGTATCTCAATCTGGACGCATTTTTGAAAAGTTATTGCGTTATCTGCAAGGGATAGGGGTTGAGGTGTGAACGATCTAATCAGATGTATACTGAGTTTATCGAATGTTACACTAAATTGTTTTGTTAATAATAGGTAATACAAACTAAAATATGCTTTGAAAAAGGAAAAAAAAAAGTCATTAAGAAGGATTCCTCCATAACTAAATCAAAACAAAAAATAAACAACAAAAATATTCGAACACAAAGAAACATATGCATGTAGTTACTAGTATCACAACAATCAACATTATATTTTTTAACTTTTCTTGAATTTTTAAGGACTGCATGGGTCATTACAGGTTAAATTATCGATTTTTCCAAGATATCTTTGTCAGAGAATATTCCAAAGCTTTTACTGAGTAAAGCACAAGTAGGAGGGTTTTACTGTTCCTCAACATGATCTATCGTACAATACTAGATACTTGTTAAAATCAAGGTCTAAAGCAGAACCAAATTATCATTAAACAAATCCCTTTTCTAAATAATTTCAATTAATTAACTGTACTGTTTTTGAACTTTACTGTTCAGAAATTTAAAATGACAGCTTTGAAATATCTCACCTTTATTCCAATAATAAAAGACAGGTGCCTTTAAAGATGTCTGCACCGTAAGTTCCTATTGGTATATGAAATTCAATTTTGACAAGAGCCTGAATAAACCAATAGACAAACCTCTTCTCTCTTTGTGATTAATAAAATGATCTAATTAAATATAAAAATGCAGAGTGCACTTAAATCTATGAAGTATCTCAACATTGAGAGATCAGTTCTCTTGAGAAGAATCATTCTCTCACTTCAAAATTAGACTATCTGTCGTCAAAAACGGGGAAAAAGACCCAACTTCTGAAATCAAATCCACCACCTCTTTATTAAAATTCTTATGATGGCACGACAGCGTTATTGTGTAGTCTTTAGAATCAATTTGTTAAAAGCCTGCGCTTCTCTCATACTAATCTTTAAAGTTTATCAAAAATTAGATAGTTTTTGTGATATTATCTCATACGGCGAAAAAAAGGACTTTTCAAAATATATTTAGTTTATGAGGAAATTTTAAAATAAACTAAAAACAAAACGTGGGAAAGAGAACACATAACCACAGCAAGATGACATGCTTCGATAACGTATGACATTCAGAAAGGAATAAAAGATCCTACATTAATTATTCACAATAAAACAGAAAATACTCACAGTGGTTTTACATTTCAAATCACGATTTGTTTTTGACTTCAGACATGGATTCTGGATTTCCTGCAGAATTTCCAGACCGAAACAAAGGGAGAGAACATTAATAATTCCGGTGATTTGTCCCTGATCAAGTGTCATATTGAGTGATCAAGTCACTGCAGTGTCCTGTCAGTTTCAATTTAGTACTATGGATCGGGATAAACACCCATAACAATCAAGACCCCATGTCCGCACCCTAGGGGTAACATTAATTGTATAATATATGATGGCCTTACTGACTGTAATTCATTCTTGTGGGTCAATTCAAGGGGCATAATAATAGCAAGGGATTAAAGGATCACAGACACAAAATAAAAAATTACAGAGATGAAAAGAACTGAAGATGTTCTTTATCTATTATACATTTAGAAACATGTCATTAAATTACATAGACAACAATAGAATTGATTTAAATGTTGAAGCCTTTGGGGTCATAAAACCATATTGTGGTAAATTAAGCGAACAACTGAACACAAGAGTTTTCATTTTGATTAAAGAGTGGACTTGCTTCTAATTTTAAAAGTACTTCAATTAATAGTTCTAAATTCACAAATAGAATCAGTACTAATTTGAATAATTTAAATGGAACACTGTATTAAAATAAATTGTGTTTTAAAAAATTATTTTTTCAGACTAAAGAGTTATTTTATCAGTTAATATTAATATTTTGATAAATCAAGCCAAGCAAATGTGTGAGACAAAATAACCAAGATAATATTTGTGTTTAAAAGTGTATCATTAAATTATTGTATATATAAGCATTGAAACAAAAAATAGGAATCGACAAGCCCCCTTAAAAAGTGTTTCCTGTTTTTATTACTTCTTTTATTAATTTTGTTCCTAATAACAAATAGTTTTAGAAAGTTTAATGTATAATTAATTTAAATAATCTGAAAAAATCATTTAAAAACAATCTCTGTGTCAAATTCATTCTCCATTACAGCATCCAAAACGAAAAAAAAACCCACATGCAATCAACAAAGTCAAACTTACCTATAAACATAAAAGGAAAAAAAAAATTAAAGAAATTCCCAAAAAAGGAAATTAATGTTATTTACAACGACAAAAACTCAAGTAACCTTTCCTGAAGTTCAGTGGGGCCTATAGGTTTCTATACTACATTAGGTACCTTCAGACACTTAGCACGTCGTACAAATGTAGATGGCTAAACCCAATTCATTCTACTTTTATCACCTGATAAAACGATTTTCATATTTGTGTTTACCTTATTAGCAATTTGCCTTCAATACCCCAATCTCTCTAATTCTCACGACCTTCTGTCCAATTTATGGAGGGTAATTTCTCCAGAGAGCACTAGATCCTATAGTTCTGACTACTTAAACATGACTAAATATGTATTCGGCGCAACCGAAAAATGAATGCAAGTCAATAGCATATTAATTAATAAAAGTGTATCCTCAAGCAAGCAAACATTGACGGTTTTACTTTTAATTTCCATAAGTTTAATTTATTAGGCAAATCAATTCGCTTTTTGTAGTTGTAAAAGTAAGGCTTAGCTAGTGCATTTGCACATGAATATGTATTTTTTGAAAACGGTGGAAAAAGTTCAGTCTTACCTCAGAGCTACCTGCGAAGTTAAATCTTGTGCAGCTATAGACTAAATGCAAAGATAAATACGACTGTTTCCTCAATTAGTTCTTTAATGTAAACTTTTAACAATGAAAAATAAACTGACTCTATAATACGGGATAAGAAAGTCCCTATTTACAATAAAATCAAAGCCGGTCATTACAAAAGTGAAAATAAGATTAAGATTTAAAGCACTTATAAACTTGAACTTTAAAAACAAAATCATGAGTCAGAGTGGCGATAATCTAGTACTAATGCTCTTTTAAAGAAGTCCCAGTTCATACAGTTTCAATGTCCATCCCCTCAAATCAAATCCCCGAGTAAGGCGAACCGAGTACACCTCTCCAAATCGGTAATCCTGTAAACAAAGGGACTTAACTCCATCGGCCGCAGGGTCCCACATCTCCCAGTGATGTGTTCCGACATTAAAATACATTTAAGTTAAAAAACGAAACAAATAAAGCAGAAATCTTTGCCCTTTTCATGAAATAAAAAAAAATCCCAAACTGACAAGCACATGCGTGGCAGAGAAATTTCTTACAATTTTTATTATTTCGAAAAAAAAAAAATTCGACATTAAACCAAGATGACAAATATGTCAAATGTCAAAAAAAAATTAATTTTTTTAAAATAAGACCTTATTTTGACAATAATATCTACCTTTTTCTCTCTTTTCCACAGAGTACGTCCACAGATGTTCAATAGTTTTTCAATGAAGAAAAAAAAATATTAAAAATTATAGTGTGACGCATCACTTCATCAATATTCAGCCTTTGGGAGGTGAGGCGTGAAAAGGCGAGCTCAATACAGACACTTCATTTGATAGCTATTTATAAAGACCTGACAGAAGACACCGTTAAACTTTTATAAAATAAATCATTTGAATAAATATATTATACAGATTGGCATAAGACCGGTCATATTAAAAATGGTTTATGAGTTTTTATTCAAAAGCAGAGATGAAAGAACTTCCACTCGAAAACCACAGACATACAACTAGGAGCAGATCACACGTTTATGCACAGACATCTTCACAAATGATTTGCATAAATTCGTGTGCTATCTATTTGATATTATTGATGACTTTCAATCAGATTGATAAAACCTATCAATAAAAAGGAGAGGTTTGCAAACCTGAGAATTTATAATAAGAGTATTGTTCTTTTTTATGCCTAACGCAGTTTATTCTTGGAATTCTTACTTCGCGGAAATCTTCAAATCAAACGGCGTCTTGTGTCTATTTATCCCAAACAAAAAATATAGTTTAATAACTAACTAAAAAATAAATTTTTGTAAACACAATTATAAAAAATGTATTCGAAGTAAAATAAAAAAAAAAAAAACCTTTGTCATTTCCTTTCCAAATGTCTTACCCTTTCCGTGTTGTCTTCAGTCACCTTTTAACAAAATTAATCCTGAACTGTCTGTATTTGTAGAAGATGAATACAGTGACTCAATGTGTGTTTGATCCCTTTATCCTCTTCTGCTACATTGACTTACAAGACTTGTTTCTCTAAACATTAGCTGAGAATCCACCCTATAGGGAGATTGCTATTTTCTTCACAATTACGGTTACACAAAGAGAGGCCGGATAATAGGTATGAAATTTATTGGCCTACTCCGAAACTTCAATAGGGGCCTGCAGAGCGCGGACATAAAGTCAGAGTATACTACAAATTTTATCATCAGGGAGATGAGAAAAAGAAAATACTAAAATCAAATAAACCCCGGTCAGTCTAAATAGCGACTGCTGGTAGAATGTGAAGTGGATTTACTCTGACATCTTCATAACCAGATAATGGAGATACTAAAAGTCCGGGGTGTTATAATGAGAGGCAAAAATCGGGTCCAGGGCGACATAATAACAGAGCGGCCCTCCACCCAGACTGCGGGCCACCGCTTGTGCAATAACCAAGCCTGTACCGTGCAATAAATAGATGCTTCAGCATCGCCTCGTAATTTGTTAATACACGGACGAGTGAGATGGTACCTTCTAATTAAGTCGTGTAATCTCTGGTGCCAGACTAATCGTTAACTTCTACTTACAAGACTTCTCTAATTTTCACAACTCTATTTATGGTTGTTATTTACATGTTTTTGAATTTTTTAAGTATTTTAGTAGCACAATAAATGTTAATATGAAATATGGTTGAAATTTACCATCTTTAATATCCTAACTGGTTCCAGAAAAAATAATATAGTAAATTTAAAAATTACCAAAAAGAAAACTGAACGGCTACAGTTGTTTTGATGTTGAATAGAATTCTTTCTTTACTCTCATTGGCCTTCGTGAAATAACGAGCTCAATGTTTCTCATGTATAATCAAAATTTTAGAAATGTTTATTAAAATAGAACCAAGAACACTATAATTTTGAAGACTTTATTCAATATTGTTAATGTTAAATTATATCTCTTTATGTCGGGAAACTATTCGTATACAAAAGACCGATAGTGCGTACTTGACCAATTCAATTGTATGATTCAAATTCATGACGAGTGACGAACAACTTTTATATTTGTTATAAAATATTTTTGAAATTGAAGATAAATGTATAAATGTTCATAAACACCGTAACACAACTCCTTATTAAAAATCAATTTGACTCATTTAGAAGTTGTGTTTTTTAATTGTTTGAAATATGATAACATTCTAAATTTCTGTGTGGCGACTTGATGTATGGTCGATATAGCAAGCCACAATCACAAAGCAACAATACTTGTTGCTCTTATATGACCTTCCACTAAGATATAATCAGACATTTTATGGGAGTTTCTAAATTAAAAAAGCTCGCAAATTTTCACCAAGGTTTTCTTAAGATGTCATCGCTGTATAATTATTAACCATTATGTCTTCTATTAGGTCTTATAATATTCCTTAGAACAACCTTGATTCGATGAACGGATTAATAAATTTGACACACGAGCTTGTAATCTGAAATTCTTTAGAGCGAAATTAGGGGTTTTAACCTTTTAAAATAAACTTTCAATAAAACGAAAGCTGAGGCTATCTCGCATTTCATCGCTGAACTGTTAAACTGTATCCAAAAGACAGCCAACGACAAAAGCGTTTTTTCATTACCACATATAAGGCTAGGCCCTGGAGGGAAAAATGTTTAATTGGTCCCCAATTTCTAAGGTTGTAACTCATCCTTACACTCCTTCCCTAAAAAAGACCCTCTTTTTTCACCTGCCCCGTAAAGCAACCCCCATACCCCAGGGGCATCTTGTTTATGAGACGGTAAATTTCCCCGCTTAACAGAGGGGGTATTTTTGAGTCAAGGAACCTTTGTTGTGTCTAAGGTGTAAATCTGTCCCGTGTTAATTGAAATCAGTAAACGATTCTTTGTTTAATTAAAATAGAAGGAAGTCACCTGGCAGGTGCCTTAACAGAAAAATACAGCTTTCTTAAGAAATTTTCTACAATAGTTATCAGACAGATAAAATTCTATATCAAGATGATACCCGATACCTGTTTACAACATGTATGGATATGTTAAACCAGTGGTGAAATAGTTTTCTTGGATTTTTTACCCTTAACATTTACTTGCATATTTTATCACCGATATAAATGCACAGACATGTTTAATCATGAAAATTTGTAAAATTAATAAACATACAGCACAAGCATTGTCATTCTTTATCCAGGCAATGTCTGGGACAAACAGATAATTCCTAGATCTTTCTACTGTTTCTATGGGAACAACAAATAGTGCAGGACACCAAAAACCTCTGATCAACAGGAACCACTTCAAAATGACCCTAGGATTCTAATGAGCTAGATAAGATTTTAAACTTGCGCATCATAACATTGCTTAATTTCATTTTAAAGCTCATTCATTGTTAAAAAAATCTCCTCCCAAGATTACAAGTTAACCGACGAACAAGTACACAAAATTCCTTTGAGCAAAAGTTCTGCATTTTAGTAAATGTGGTTTCACAGAAAGACCAAATCTGTTATTTTTCAAACTCAATAAAGTTGCAAAAGCCTTTCATAATGCAACATATACCTGCATGAACTTCAAATCCCAATATCTTTTCGAATAAAATACAGTAGAAAGACAATTTATAGAGATATTAGATGAAAACTGTTTTAAAAAGCCTATATACACAAAAATGGGCAAAAACTAAAGAATCCGAAGAGAGAAGTTATTTTCAACAACGGACAAACGGACAAAATTAACAAAATGTATATTCATAAAATATAAAATATATATATTCACACAAGTAGATATTGACATGTACATTTATCATTTGGCAAGGAAAAAATTCATACATTTTAGTTTAAAATTTGGTCATTCAATTTGTATATCTTTAAATGAAGCTCTTCTAAAGGAGAGCAATATAGTCTAAAAATAGCCACAACCACCTAGCCCTCTTAAGTTACATACGCCTTTTATAATGATACATACACTTGTCCGCTATTAACTACTTTGTTAATTTTAGTGAGACTGAGATCAAAAGTGAGCTCGTCTAAGTTTTATGGCCCCTAGGCCAGGTGAACTGATGACCAGAATCATTAAGTAATAATAACAAGGACTTACATGTAGGTACACGAACTTCAAAAAACTAAATATTTCAAATATCTTTAATGCAAACCAGACAATATGGAGTTATAGTAATTCACACTTTTTAAAAAATATTTATATTTCAGTGATTTACGAAATGGTATATTATAATTTAGTATTATATTTTTTGAAAGAATTGTGTGTACTTTTTGAATCAGAAACATTGTGTTTGTTGCAATTTTAAGGTGGCAGGAGACACGCGTACAACGTAGTTGCAAATACAGAAATGTGAGGAAGTAATAAATATTAAAACCAAAACTTTTGGCACCAGGCACTCATTAAAAATATCAATCAATTGAACTAGTAGATGCAAGTTCAGAGAAAAAAAATGAAATTTAATATTGTACCATGTTGATTGATTGAATAGCCTATGTTCAAGCTTACTCTTTTCAACTTTTTCGAAAAACAAATACCTGATATTTGAATGTGAACAATCATCAAGTTATTTAACCTTAAATCTCAACTAATGAATTAAAAAAATAACTTAACTAAGATAATAATTTATTAGTTTAAAAATCTCAACTGGCGTCATGCAGAATTCGATTTTTGTCTTTTTGAATTGAGGGCTAACACTATCATGCAATTTTCCTGTCGGAAAAATACAATACCAACAATCGCTCTGCGGCATTTCAACAAAGTCACCAAAATTGATTTTAATGCAGTATCTTTATTAATTTAAAAGTGATTATTTCTTTTGTAACGACAAATTGATTTTGAACACATTTCTATTAAAAAATTAACATATATTTTGCAAGGAAATATAATTATATTTTATACGATATATCGGTATATAATATATTATATCTCATAAATTACTTAAAGTAAAGAAAAAAATATTTCAAAAAATTAAAAATTAAAAACAACAGACCTTATAGACTGCCAGAACGATGAATCCGGCATCTAAATGAATGTCTAATCAACATCTGCCCCAAATATAAAGAACTTACAAAGCATATCACATATATCAATGAACTATAGACATTGTCAACCTAACGGCTATAGCGAGTCTATTAAGCAGTTCCTCGTCATTACATCTTTACAAAGGCACTCACTCTGTGCAAATACAGCCTAATAATATTGCTGGTAGTTCTTTAAGTTGAGCTCAACACTCAATAATCAGTGTCACTCAATATCAATGAACAGCTATTAGATTTATATTCTTTGATTGTCATGCGATAAAATTTTTATTTTTAAAGACCACGTATGCCTCATCCACTAGGAGACTACGCCACTTATCAAAAACACAAATATTATAATTTATGCTGTAATTTCGATCACTTTCACGTTGGTGTGTGGATTGGGGTTTAAATAATTGATAAGAGAAGTCTTTCATAAATAAAAGATTAAGATCGGTAATTTGAACAGAATCTTTATGCGACTGAATATAAAATCTTTTTAAAAATTAGATAAAAAAAAAAATTGAGCATGCGACAGTGAAAACCAAACACAATGATCATATGGTCGGGGCTATATAAAGCTCGAATTTACCTGTATGGATTATACAACTACATGTCAATATATAATCACTTGATTCTATCAAAACTTTTAAACTTGATAAAAATAACTAAAGGATTTGGAAATAAAAAAAAGAGATTGAAATCTTACCTGAAGCTTTAAATCTGACGGCAGTTTTGTTTTCGAGTTTAATCTCTTTTGGCTTGTGCGGTCGGAGAGAGGTGGACTTGCTTTACCTAACTCTGGGACAGATGACACCGGGCATCACCTGTAACGTGTTAATTTCAGTCCCGTCACCTACACAGTGGTCAGCATCTTGTCTTTAATATACATTACAACTAATTTCGAAGATTTTCTCAAAGATTTATACTAAAGGAACTATATACACGTATAATAAGCATAAATATTTATTGATGGCAATACATGTATATTTCTTAGAAATATTTATTTATAGGTATCAGTTTGAACCTGTCTCTTGTAGATACAGTAAAGGCGTTATCCTGCATTATTATTATTTTTTAAAAATCATTTGTTCTGTCTAAAATTTAAAATTGCTACGTGGTTCTATTTATAACATTAATTCATTTCAAAGATGGTGACTAAACTTATTTTTCCTGCAGGTACTGACTGTACGACCCAGCTTTCAGTGGGACAGAAGTTTATGGCCACCACGACAGTTCAGCTCGTTAATTATCACACCTAACGAGCCACAATTAATTAGCCTTTGTGCAGGGCGAGTGTTGATGGCAGACAAAGGTGACAGGATGCATCACTAAATGCCACTCACTTCTCCATTTGTTTAGCTGGTTGTGCGTTATCAAATTATGATGCTTTCATTTTACAAATACATGTTCATATTATACATGTATGTATATTTTGTTTGTATTTTTTTAAAAGTGTTGTAGGCCCTTAAAGTTTTTTTTTCCAGAAAACAAAATTAATAGTTTTGTCTTTACGTGGAAGATAGGGATGGATACATCGACACTATAAGGTCAAAACAAAACTTTAAAAACCTAGCGAAAAGAGGCTAAATGTAGTAAAGCCTGTGAACTAATTTTTATATCAAGAAAAAGTTATTATCCAGAAGACATCCATTGTTTCTGTAATGGCTTGTTAGATTTTGTTGATCAAATTTAGCAATTTAAAAATTTTTAACCGGCTTAAAAAATCATTTACATGTATATGAAATTTTGAAGCAAATGTGACCCTTCAGTGTTAAAATTTGAGACAAAAAGTCGAGAATTATCTCGGAATTATGACATCAACGGGTTAAAAATTGACTTGCAGAACTGTTGCTTTAATTTGTAACCCTGTATTCAATCTGGAAATCTTTTTTCATCATTCATCTGTACATACATGAAATACAATTACGTATATATTAATCAGTTTCAGAATTCAGAGTTCTTCTTAAATAACACAGCTGAACTGAAATTAGCAATTCAAATTAGCATCCTGAAAAACTGCAATTGTTCAATACATGCTATAATGTAACTCCCGTTCATATATTGCAGGTCGGTTCCAATTGCTAATTAGATTGACTGTTAACAAAAGAGGTGATTTCAGCTGGACGATGAAAGTTTCCCAACCTTTTCATTGCTCTGTCTCCTCTGGATTCTATCGATATTTAAATGGAAAAAAGGCCACTGACAGATAAGTTGAAGGTACATAGTACAGTCATGTAGATTTCTACAAACTTCACACCCTGAATGCACCAGTGTAATGAAATAGAAACTGTGCATTTTATTTCTATCCCTTTTTACCGTCTTTTGAATTGTTATGTATATCGTGTACACTTTGAATCAAAATTATTACTGGTTTTATAACAAGCATCATTTAAAGTTCTTCATTGCAAACTAGGGTATCACCAATATATTTCGGACCAAATTAGCCTATTATCATATCTTGAGCTTTCTTTAATGAAAAGCTCGCAGCCAGCGTTGAGGGTACATATATAACACAAACAAATATATATATATGTATATAGTAAAAAATAACAGAACGCCGATTAAAACTCTACCGGTTTCAATTGTATCATCAGGAGTTTGACATATTGCTCTATACAAACATTTCAAAGTATATTGTGACGTCATTAACGTCAAAAGTGTTGCGCTTTAGTAAAAATTAAATACGTTAACAGTTAGACAAATTGCGGGAAAATTGTAAATTGTCTATTATGACAGGGCGTTTAGCTTTGGTTTAAACAATGAAATAAAATGTTTTTCCTTGGTTTCACGTTCCTTTTCGGAAGTTTTGTTATAGAACTTGTATATGCACATGTTCTAATATCACGGCAGTGCACTGGTATTCAGTTTGACGAATTTGTTGACGATGGACCGTCATGCGGTGTCTTAGGGTGTGTTTGGCCAATATAATGCTCGCCGCATCCTGAACATGTCATGACATATATCAAATTTGAACTTTCGCAGGTAAAAGAAGAATGAATAACGAATTTTCTTCCGTTTTTAAAAATAAATTGTTCGGTTTCCTGTAAAAAGGGACAGGTTCCACATCTTGGATGATGACATTTTTTAACACCGGCTGTTTCCTCTGTATTGTTAAATTTGGCTCGTGTTAAAATCTTCTTTAAGGATGGGCTCTGTCTTTTACTTTTGATCAACTGAAATTCACTGAGTACGTCATTCATCCTTATAAAACTGGCATGTTGGTTTTGATGACTTGGAAAAATTCTTGATTTTTTGGATTGTGTGTAGATACAGAACGGGTTTTTCTTGTATCTGAATAGGCTGTTTCTGTCATGTAGTTTGGCGTTGTCTATTCCTTTTTCAATTAGTAAGGTTGGATAATGCCTTTGTTTTAATAATTCCCGTAACTCATCAAGTCTGACATTTAAAATATCCTTGTCCGATATTATGGTACAGAGTCGCCTAGCTAAATTATATGGAATGTTGTTCTTGATGTGTTTTGGAAAAAAACAGGAATGTTAGAGAAGGTATCCTTGTAATATACGAAATTCATGACCATAACATTAAAAATTAACTCTCCACATGCTGTTTTATTAAAAGTAATTCAGTCATTATAAATCCAAATATCGTTTCCAGGAGAATAAAATGTTTGCACTCAACACCAAATTTTTCTCTCTCAAAAAAGGCCACAAATTTGTTATCGAAGTTCATAAAGTTATTTTCCAATATTAAACGTTTTTGAAAAACGAAGTTGTTAATTCTGGGAATTCATCAATCCAATGTTCAATTGCTTCTAGTCCTAGTTCATACTGGTCACGTCAAATGACATTTGGAATATTCTTAGTGATTTTAAAAAATCAATATATCCCTTATATAACTTTTTATTGATACATATGGTTTCAAAAATGTCCAATTGATTCTATGTGTGATGGCCCTGCTACTATCGGTCTTAGTTTTAAAAGTGCATATACATAGAATATGATTCCTTACACAATTTGCTTATAATTGCGCTTTTGTGAATTTTTGTCCATAAAAATTGTGTTTTTTACTTCAAACGATAACAGGTAGTCGATTTCTTTTGTAGTTAAAATGCAATGATTTCACTTAATTTCTTCATTATATTTTTAGATCGATACTCTGTTTGTTTTTCAAAATCTTAAGTATCGAAAGGCATAAATTTTTATAATAATCCTTATTCATCAAAAAAATAATAATGTTTTCATCCTTCTTTAAATTTTCAATGGCTGTCCTTATTTTCCTAAATTATTTGAAGACTGTTTTCTCTGAACATTGTCTTTGGGGTATTTAGAAACATGTTCAATGAATTTATCCAGGTTATAGTTTCTTCCCTTGGGTGGGTCAAGGATTTGAAACAATAGACTCATCACTGTTTTCCTCATCTAAGAAAAATTCCGCTAATCTTAATCTTCTACAAAATGCTTCTATGTCATTGGTTAATTCCTCTGTATTATCTAGGTGTTGGTGTGAATTTAAGTCCCCTTTCAAGAATTTTAATTTCATTTAGTGGAAGTTTTTTATTTGATCAACTAAGCTTTGAAATTAATTCGGCTTGCAATAAGTAACTCTTTGCAACGGGAAATTTTGCTTGTTGATGTACATACATATAAGGTCGTTCATGGTATGGAATTTTCGGTCTTTTGTCTTTGTAATAGCTGCCGAATCCATTATGTGTGTTGAATGTGGGTCCATTAATTGTTTGAATTCTGGTTCGAGCAATGTTTGGATTGAATTTATGATGGTATTTTCTAACGTTGTTTTCCACTCATGGTCATAGTATTGCACTGGTTTCCTGTGCCAAAGTCACTGGATTTTGTTTTGAAGAATGGATTTTTTTCCATTGAATTCGTCCTTGAATTTGTTCTCAAAGGTCAGTAGCCATTTTTCTGATTTCATCCATCTTTCTATGGAGTTTTTTTCTTCTTTCAAGCATTCATCAGTCCATAATTTCATTACCTTTTTCAGGACGTCTTGTTGAACAGTATCTTTGAAATACAATAAATTTCATGATCAATTGATTTGTATTTATCTTCATTGTATTTCCCCCGCATTTGTAGTAGATCAATTTCTGCTTTATACTTCTCTAATACAAGCCGTTCTCGGCGAATTCTTTGGTTTTCTGGTTCTCCTCTAATTTCTTGTATCTGAAGTTTTCTAGGTATATATATATTGACTGATTTTGAATGGAAATGACATAAATAATTCATTCTTAAAATAAAAAAAAAAATCTTCAGTTTTCTTTGTTGCTTAGATATATGCGACTTTGTTGTATCATTTTCTGTTTAATTTTATACACAGCTGTACATATACTAGTACTTTTGACGTTGTGACAAAATTATATGTATTTCTCCAACTTTATCTGGAAAATATTATTCACGTTACCTATTTAAGTATTATTCTATCAGAAATACTGCTGATTTCTGGAAAAAAAAATGGGATTGTTTATCCTTGAAATTCGCACATTTTAATTCACATTTTATTAAAAGACAGTCATTATAAATCTAAAGTCCCCAAGCCCCTCTCTCTCAAAAAAGGCCACAAATTTTTATTTCAATATTATGTTAGCTATAAACTATATACTGTTGTAATGATTTTATTACAGAAATAATATAGAAATTGAAAATTTTGTGTGACCTTTGAGAACATTTTTTGTGAATGTGTTTTGCAACTAGAACTGACAAATTGTACGCGTATACATTCGCGAAATAAATAAATAAATAAATGAAAAAAAAAATCCTTTTACCCTTACATTTTGAACCGTCTACTACGCGGTATTTCAAGGTTGAGGCCATCAGCTCGTGTAGAGATTAATGCAGACTATATTATTTATCAACTAATGAAATTAATGGCTTGCAATAAGTATAAGACAAGATTAATGTTGACTATACATTGAGGGGAGTCAAGGGGCACCACAAATTTACACGTCTCCTGTCTCGCTGAAACGACCACAGGTGGTGCAGGTGTGATGTCAGCGGGTGAGGAGAGTATACAGAGAACAAGTTAAAACAAGGAGGTACTTAGATAAATAACCGTTTTGTCATTAAATTTTGTGCATGGACACTCTTTTTTACTCGCTGGTCTTTTTTTAAACATCCGACTCGTTTGGCCGTAAACTGAAAATATTATGGTTCTTTGTCACGATTCAAAGAAAGATAACTCCGATATTGTAAGCTCTCTATGTTGTTGCTTAATAGTTGTAAATTCTTTGTACTGATATACCACATGTATATTTAGAATAAATTAAACTGTCCCAATTTTTGCCAATCAAGATTTTTTTTATTCCCTCAGCTAGCATTATAAGAACTAACCAAAGTATGCAAAAAGTAGGAACAAACTACTGCTATTGGTATGATATTTTATTAAATATATTAAATAATACTTTCAACAAGTTAGTATGCATGCAAAAACTGAAATATATTAACTATTTATTCTTGTCAATTTGCATGATATGATTTCGTTAGAAGCACTACAAGTAACAGATGAAACCTATGTACATATAAGCTTCCATTCTGTGGTAATTAAAGCACTGAATCCCAGATTTATCTACTGTCCGTATTTCCTCGGCGATCACTGTCTTCTGTTCAGGAACTTTCTGTTCATGGGAAAAGCTGGATCACTGGAATTTGCTCTGCAGCAGGGTGCGCGATATCAGGTTAAACTCTTGTTCACCTTCTTGATTCTTCAGATGATATCCATAACGTCCATTTTCTCCAGTGGTGGCCGTTTTGGTCCAAAATATCCAAGATTTCTCATTCTGTCTGGAATTAAAAAAATGATGTTCATAAGTTATCGGTGATAAGTCTGTTGATGTTAATTACTTGAATCAAAAATCCACCAGAAATATCTCTGTTTTTACTTACTTAGTTTATAAATGTCCAGATAGCTGCCGCCTTTCCCGCTGTCACAGTTGGTTCTGCAGTCAGAGTCATCGCTATCTTCATCTGTCATCATTTTCTGTATAAAAGAAAAACGCAAATAAATAAATAATTTTTTACCTTTTGTATCTAAAAGTTGCATGCAATTGTAAAATATATATAAACTCTGAATATTTCTTTTATTTGTTGCTTTTATATGTTCTTACCTTGCACTCTATCAGAGAATTGGTGAACACGGATGTCCCCGTGGAGTTGTAAAGTTCCATGTTGTCAAGATCCTCGTGATCGGTTGTTGATGACGTCATATTAACAGTTTCCGGCGCCTTCTTCTCAGTGAAAGTGACCTGTTTCGTAGTCGTAGGTTTGTAGACAATGGCGTCAATTGGAATCACTTGCTGAGATTGCTTATATGCTTGGGCTCGATTCTGTTTTTCTTTCTTCTTTTTCTGGGCATTTCTCCTGAAAATGCACAGGATGGTTGTTATGACAACAGCCGCTACCACTGTGATTGCTACGATAGAAGTTGTCACCATAGCGTTCCTTGGTCCTGTACCTGATTCTTCAAGTCCGTTTACGTATTTCAAAATAACTTTTAACTTCGTATCTACACTGTTCTTGTTATATCCTTTGTCGCTAACTCGAATGTGAAGAAAATAGCTCTCATCTTTTTCTAACTTTCTTTCCTTGCTTATCCTTAAGGTACCAAATGTATTATCCACGGCAAAAACCCCTTCATCGTTTCCTGATATTATGCTGAATTCTAGGTCACTGTTTGGTCCCGATTCGTCTGCATCTTTTGCTTGAATAACAGCGACTGTGGATCCAACCGATTTTTCAGAAAACACAACAACAGTTTCATTTTCTTTGGCGGGGTAGGTGATGACCGGTGCGTTATCGTTGTTGTCTGCTAGGCGAACTGTGACGTCTGCTGTTGAGACGAATGATGGAGATCCCAAATCATACACCTTAACTTGGAAAGTGTACCTGTCTTTTTCTTCTCTGTCCAATGTTTCACTAGTTTTTATGATGCCGTCTTGAAACACAATAAAGGGGATCGTATTCTTGTATCCGTCAACAACTGAAAACAGCAAGTTACCGTTGACACCAACGTCTTTGTCTGTTGCACTCAATTGTCCGACCTTCATTCCAGCTGGCATATTTTCGAGGACGAAAAACTGGAAATGGGAAACCTTAAAAGATGGTGCATTGTCATTAGCGTCAAGAATAGAAATGAACACAGTTGTTGTAGCGGTGAGTGAAGGCCATCCAGAATCCACTGCAATTACTGTCACCTCATACTCGCTGGTCTTTTCACGGTCAAAGCTTGTCCTTGCTCTCAGAACACCAGATTTGGAATCTATTGTGAGTCCTCTTCGTTTACCCTCAATAAAGTATTCTATTTGGGCATTTTCGTCTAAGTCTTTATCAGTAGCAGACACAGTTAATAACTCTGTTCCGGGTGCATTGTTTTCGACGATTGATGTGAAGTAAGACTTCTTGCTAAACACTGGAGGGTTATCATTTATATCTTGGATTAGAACTGCAATGCTAACAGTAGAAGACAATGGCGGAATTCCAGCATCTGCACACATTACCGTGATGTCATATCTTTCTTCAGTCTCTCTGTCCAGTGGTGTTTTAGACACGATAATATATCCGGAAGACGGGACGTTCTGAAGTTCAAAGACTGCACTGGAAATGGAGCAGGAGACATTGCCGTTCATGCCTACATCTCTGTCGGTGACGATGATGAACGCTACGACACTTCCCGTTTCCGGAGACTCCGACACCAGAGCGGTGAGGTTATCGTTCGTCTGTCCTCCTCCACGTGACAGGATATTAACGTCAATCATGGGAGCGTTGTTCACAACGTCTATGACAGAAACAGTCAGATTAACTCGGGAGGCAAGCGGCTGATTTCCGTGGTCTTCACTTATAACTTCCAGTTGGAATGTCTCTCCGCTAACTCGGGTTAAGTCTTCTTTGACGGATATTTCACCGGAAGATTCGTCGATCATGAAAAATAATCCGAAGAAAGACGTTTCTCCTGAAAACCTGTAGGAAACACGTCCATTGTCTCGGAGATCGGCATCTGATGCTCGTATTGAAAGGACAACCATGCCAATTGTAGCGTTCTCCTGGACTGAAACGTTGTAGCTAGAATGTTCAAACAGGGGACTATTGTCATTGGTGTCTGTAACCGTGATATCGATATCAAGTTTGCCGGAATCCGATGCCTTTCCTCCATCAGAAGCCATGACAGCTACACTGTAAGAGTCTCTCGTTTCACGATCAAGATCTTTCAGAAGAATAAGAGAGGCCACTCGTACACCTTCTTTGTTTTTCGTTACTTGAAGTCCGAACACATCTATATTTGACGCTGTATATGTTACATTGCGGTATTTTTCTGTCGAGTCCCGGTCTGTAGCCGTCACGGTGGTGATAACAGTTCCTGCAGGGGTAGACTCCGGAACGTTGATATTAATCCGATTCTCCAAAAATCTCGGTGCATGGTCATTAATGTCATCAATATGAATTTCCACATCTACGATCTCAAAGTGACTCGCTTTTGGTGAATATAGGGCAACTTTCAGGTTGATGGCGCATGTTTCACGGTTTCCACATGTTGATTCCCGGTCAATGAGTTCCGCTGTGTAAAGGTTTCCATTCTGCTTGTTCAGTTTCACTAGGTTGGCGTGTTCCCCGGACCCAATCATACTATATACCAGATCAGACTGAGCCCCTTCTGGTAAGGTCTGTAGGATTCCATCAGCGGTATGTCCGATCAGGGTGTTAATATCCGACTCCTCGACTACATTGAGAGTTGTTTTAGATCCGTACGCTAGACACGCGCAGGATACCAGGAAAGCAAAACTCAGCATTTTCACAACAACAATTTCTGAAATGGATATAGAAAGAAATACTTTCAATTTGAAATAGTCAGACAGATGTTCTGTGGTGAACTATCATGTTAGATCCGCACTTCCCCTCGGATATTTATCGACTAGCTTGATACAATCTGATCAACATTTAAAGAACATTTATAGTATTTTTTTTTCCTTTTTCTCATGAGAATCGGTTTAACGCCTTCGGTGAAAAACTCTACAAACAATGATCCAATATTCTTCACCCTATCACACAAATTTGTTTAATTACTTATCAAAGCCTCTAGGCTTAATTCACTTAAACTTTTCTATTGTGTTGGGTGCATGGCGTTGTAAACAATTATGTAAAAGAATGTGTGAAAATCTGATGATTATTTATATTCGGACATTATGCCGCGATTTTTTTATTTTAAAAGTCAAGGAGGCGTCGAAATTAACAGGTTGAAAAGAAAACGTATTGTTAACCTTTGTAATTGCCGACAAAAGTCGGAATTATTGAGGATTAATCGTGAAATACTCATTGATGATCAGGAACAGACATGAATTAAAAAATATCAAAGAATACAGATACTTGAAGGGGATCTATAAACTGAAAGTAAAATGGTGACCGTTTTAAAATATTTTTCGATAAGCAATGTAGACTTAAAGATTAAGAAACCCAGAATATTTTGTTCTACGTGCATTTAACTTATTTTTATATGAATTTCTGTTAACCTATTCTACAAAATAAATAAATATTTAATAAGAAATATTATTTATTATTATTAAATATTTATTTATTTATTTATTTTCTAGAATAGGTTAACAATTATATACATATTTTCAAACAAAAAAATAAATAACTATAGATATGAAATAATTAAATAAATAAATAAACAATGTACTTCTCAATTATCTAAAATAATATTTCACGTTGGTATGAAATGTAAAAAAATTAATTATTTTCTTACCGAAAATTACACGTACAAATCCATGAAATCACAGATATAAAATGAATAAATCTGTTTCATCTACCCCTTAAAATAATCTTTCTTACATGTGCGGCTTGAGTCACAATTAAACTCTTACACAAACTTATCTAAAATGATAAAATTCTCACTACTAATAAATCGGCACCGACAGATTGTGAAAATATTTTTACATGTTTTTGATATTTTTATATTACGTCCACGAGCCATTATATGTTTTGAATCAAACAAATGGAATTTTATGGCCCTAATGTTACGTAGTTTAATGGCCATTAGTGACAAAAAATGTTTTCAGGTGTTTTACGACAAGTCCTTCTATAAATAAAGCATTGACAGTACTACATATTTATGGCTTTTACTCAGTTATACTTCAAAGAAACTTACCTGGAATATAAATAATTCAGATTACTAATGTACTAGTGTGTACACATGTCAAGTATGGTGAATAATTCCAAAGTAAACACAGCCTCTAAAATGTATACAGTGTACTATTTTCTATCAGTGATGGGTAGATGCTGAAGAATATTTAGCAAAGAAAATCCTTATATACTAGTTTAACACATTGACCAATTAACTGGCTTGTCATTGTAGAAAATTAAGAAACATAATTTCATATTTAATTCACTTTAAAAATTATGCAAAATTCGAGAAGTTCTACACGTGCAAGGCGTCAATTATGCCCCGTGGCACGTGCAGGACTTAGTCACACGCGTTTTACTTTTTGAAGCAATATTTTGGTGTGCTGGGCTGCAATTTTCTCAGGATTAATGATTCAGCACCTGAGGGGAGTGCACACCTTTGATTTATGACTGGGAAAATCCACATAATCCCCCGTTAATTGTGTTCTTTAATTCAATGAACCAGAGGGCCCCTCATCATCTTGATTTGATACGTTGACCAGTTTATGGTCAGTAAGGATTAAGTTAGATTTACTCCTCTTTTTACGTTGTACTGATTTTCAATGAACTTAAATATGGAGCCAAATAAAGTAATTATCAAAAGCAATTACGGGGACATTTTTATATTCCTTATTGCTATGTTAAAGATATTCTGTAATAATTCTTAATTTACAAATTGAAAGAAATTATCACACATTGTAACTCCGGTCATATTCATTAATTACGTGTATTGGCATGAAAATAAATCCATTAACTCATATAATAAAGCAGAAATGCATGGTTCTATAATTTTTTAATGTTAACCTTTTTTAATTGCAAAAATAATAAATACAATCAAATACTAGTATTCTCTCAAATATCTTATAAAATTTTATAAACAAGAACTTTCTTCGTATAATTTCCAATAAAGGCTTACAAAATTTCCACGTTTTTCTTATTTTCTACTTATGAATAAGTAAATATAAATTTTTGTTACTGTAGTGTCCTTTAAGACATCTTTTTCTTTCTAAATAAAGTCTGTAATATGACGAAAAGTCGTCGTATTGCAGATTATTTTAAGGAAAAACAATATCAGGAAGAAGAGTATGGAGAATAGAATTTCTTACTAGAGTGATGAGGTGCACGATCTCAAATAACTATCAATATTTTCCTATATACAAATAAAAACTCTGAACTCAAAATTTGACTTTTTTTAATGCCTCCCGAGATTTTCAAGATGAAGAATTTACCCCTATATTTTTTTCTAAATATGAAATCTTTGAAGAACTAAAGGCATTAAGTTTTGATTCAATTTAAGCTCGATATTTTTTAAAGGAGAATACAGACCCCAACCGATCAAGAAGACTCTCTGAAAAGATATTTTAGGATATTGGATGTACATTTTGAGATCAAACGCAGTCATTTTCACAGGCTATTTTTATACATTAGTATTTAATAATTACATTTATAAGCTTCTCAGTTCTTTCCTTCTTTTTTTCTGCATCAGGTTTAATTGATTTCTTATGTTTTTATTGTACCATGTATACCCCCCCCTTTCCGCACCAGGTCCAGTTTCTAGTTTGGCAAATACTGGCACATGTTGGATGGGTAAAAAAGTATTCATTAGTTCTTTTTGACATAAAGTTTGGTCCATACTTTGCTGACATTATATCTTCTGCTACTCCTTGTTAAATTCGTTGAATTGAAATAATTCTACCCTACCAATTTTTGGCACTACTTATTTCATTGCATTTGTATAGACCCATAGTTTCTTGATCTTATCTCAAGTTTGTTGTATTGTTTATTTACGTTCCTCCAAAGCCAAATGGTGTAATATAATTTTAAAATATATTTTAATTTCACCTGTGTCTTTGATTAAAGCTATATTTATGTTGATGACCAACCATTAATTCATTCCATCGATCGCTACATAAAGTAGACTGTACGAGCATATCTTCTTGAAAGATATATTGGTACGTCATATATGAATAGATAACAATTTTCCCCTTTATTTTGTAATAAACTGCAAAAATTTAAAACACAAGCATTAGATCACAAAAATGAATGTTAGTACATTTATACCTATACAACCGACAGCAAAAACAGACGTCAGTGATAAGACTAAGAACTCTAGAGAGAAGGACCACAAACATGACAAATATAAGACATACATGTGCGAAAACAAATGAAAAATATAACAAATAAATAATGTTGAATAAAATTTCATTCATATTTTGAAAATGATCACCATCATTACATGTGTGTGTCTGAAATATGAATATGCTTTTTATATGATGTGAAATGAGAAAGAGGGATCAGATATGCAAATTTCCTACACAATAAAATTAGGTAGTTGATAGCAGTGTATATCATGTAAATGTTTATGTTGTGAAAAAGACTCTCAGAATACACTTTGTGTAAATATTGTACATTGAGGGGTCTGGATGACTAGAACTATCTAATATTTACGAATAATAACGGAAAGGCTTTATCTAAATGTCAAGGACGGATGATGTACTAATCTCATATGATGACAATGGTAGTCCATTGTTTCTTGAAAAAATAAAAACTTTTGTACTTCACTCTGCAAACCAACGTAAATATATTGAAAAAAAAAATCTTGAACATTTCAATCAAATGGCACATTTTTGTGCGATATCATATACATGTAAAAAACAAATACTTTATTATATTTCAATGAAAAGAAAAAAAAGACACAATTTAAAACAAAATAAACAATTTTCACAAATCACAAATACATGTATGTGGACATTCTAAAGACGGCTTCTTGATGATACATATTATAAAATTTACCTCATTAGGTTTTTAGAACTTAACATCATTAAGTGGTCAAAAAATAAACATTGATTTATAGTTATGCGGTTACTTTCCAAAAATAAACCCAATATATAATGTTGAAAATGGCGAATATTGTAGGAAATAGAACCCTGCAGATAACATCCAAATAGGATGCGTAGGCTAGTCCCTTGTTTTGTTGAAGTTTTTCTGCTTTCTCTTTGGGTTCCGTTTTTAAGTTGACATTACCAAACTCATTCACAATAAGCTGAAAGATAGAAAATGGAATTACATTTAATATTTATGTCATTTTAATGCATATGGAGCAGAAATTCAAGTTCTTGTCATTCTTGACTCATTCATACATCTTTAATATCACACATTGTTAAATTAAATCATAAATTTTGCTTTAAATTTATTTCTTGATCTATTTTCCATTTGGAAGTACTGTGACTTGCTGTGTGTTGTCATGTTGTAAATTTTATATTTTCTAACACTCGGTAAATTCAAAATTTACAACATGACAGAACATAACGTGCGCTTACATCTTTCTTTTCTCCGTCCATCTGGGTCTGTCGACGATGACGCAGACCTTTTGTGACATCATTTCCATTCTTCTCTTTCTCTATCCGGCCAATTTTTGTTATTCTAAATATACTCTGGAGAAATTCTTTTTCTGACTTGTTATTTCGGCTCAGTACATTGGCCACAGAGAACTCGATCAGAGCCGCAAATACAAAAACAAGACAAGTTGTCATCCAAATGTCAATTGCTTTGATGTAAGAAACACGAGGAAGTGACGCATTTACTGCAGAACTCTGAGTGGTTATTGTGAGAACCGAGAGCACACCCAAGGAAATTCGGGCTGGGACTGAGTTGACATTGAGCCAGAACGACACCCATGATAATAAAACAATCAGGAGACTCGGAATGTACATTTGTATCATGTAGTAACCAATGTTACGTTCCAGGTGAAAGTCAGCTTGAAGATAACTGAAATTTCCTACAAAATAATAAGAAATGAAAGTACTTTTTTTTTTAAAAAATAAAAATTGTACATGTGTATTGTTTCAATTTAAATTCAATGATTGAAGTAGTAGCTACAAATCCGTTATCTCCTTTATATGGCAACAATATTTCAACTTTTCAATGTACCTCTGAATCTGTGTGTTCTTTCCCGGAAGGAGTAATTCCTTCCGGTGACCTCAAACTGGGGCAGGCTAGTCTGATTCAGGGCGACAGCATTTTCAGAAAGGTTGGACCACCTCAGCTGTATACTGCTGGTCGTGTATCCGACTATAGATAAAAGTGAGCACAGTTTGAACTGCTTACCGTGTTTGTTTCATGTCTTATACACAAAGAGAGATCTGCTTCGGTTCAAGTACAGTTAAAACTTGAACTGAAGTACAATCTTTATTAGACTTGACGATACTTTTTTTTTATACTTACAACTTTCTATCTTAATTGAACATGTTTGTTTGTCAAATGGGAATCTTTTTAAATTCATAGGACAAGACAGTGTTAAGGCGATTCTGCAACAGAAAATTAGCAATAATCATTGGAGTCAACTTAAATGATTATGATTCACAAATATAATAACTGCAGATTTTTTTCCAAAATTGAATACATGAAAACAATCTTGTTGAATATCAATCGTAAATGCATTTAATTAACCTGGTGGTGTAGTCTATCGTCCCGTTCCGGTGTAATCTCATCATTTTATTATCCGTCATCACATTGAAGAAGTTGGACTTTTTTTCGTTAGGGAAATACAAGTCCGGAACCCAAAGTCGCCCCATCTTTGTAGCGTCCAGTTCCACGTACTCCAGCCTGCTCTTCACCGAGTCAAACTTTTCAGTTAACAGTGTGTTGATCCAGCGAAGGTGTAACATAACAGAAATTCTAAAATCCTGCAAAAAGCGGATTATCCAATTTTAATTAGTCTTCAAACTTGAAAATTACAGTATAACCAAATTAACACGAATGATTGAATGTTTATGAGGCCTATTTACCATGCTAGCTTCATTGATTGAATCGAAACTATTAACGTTCAAGTCAGCCTCAATGACTGTAATTTTATCTGCAAAACAACGATGCCCAATTTATCATAGGTTGATATAAACGACTTCCATACAAAAATCGAAATTGAATTTGAGGAAACTGAAAAATAAAGGATATTTGTAAAAGGAAAATTTTTATTGATATTCTTTGCAGTAATATTTGATAATAAAGTTTGATATGATTATATTATTTTGTAAATAGAGCAAAAAAAATATTCAAAAAAAAGATGGGCATTGATAATGTTATGTAAAGAGTCAAAGGCGTTTGGCAGAATGGCATTACTTACCAGAGTCAAACTTATCATAGTTAGGCGGGTTCTCCAAATCCTTCTCACTTACGATACGCATCAATAAATCAGTTCTGAAATGATAATGATTTCACAGATTCAAAAATATGTATTGTATGGTAAAGTTTAGACTCTAAAACTGTATCATTTTGAATGGCACATTGGTCATGACGTAATCACGTTTCATCGTAGGGGGTAGCCTATAAGATAAATAGCTATAATCTGAAGTTAAGTGGAACCTCCAAGGCAAACGTCGAGTTGGGCGTACCAGGGCAACTTGGAGAGGGTCATGTGAGCTAGGAGAAAATCAGACAGTGTGGACAAAGCTGGGAACAAATGAAAAAAGCTGCTCAAAACAGAATGCGATGGAAGATTGTTGCCGAGGCCCCATGTTACACCAGGAACCATGATGAAGTTAAGTCTTCCTAATTGTATCGCCTTTCCATTTAGAAATATATTCTACTTTCTATAGTCGACGTACAGCCGGCCTGGAGGAGGCACTGAGAAATTGACAAAATGGACAATGGACACACTAAAACTATGCAGCTCTGAGGGTTTATCCACAGGTGACCTAATTATTTAGACAAGAAAAATTAAATAAAGAGATGGCTAAAGAAAATAATATTTTTATGCTTATCATATCTGCATGTATAAAGTTAACTCGTATATATTTTTTTCATTCTCAGACTGAAAATTTATAACTGTTGTCTCGAAATACGAATATTAGTGCTTTGGCACCATGAAGTGCATAACCTTTATGATTACATCTCTGTATATTATTTCAGGAGTATAAAAGTCGATACGTATAACAATATTTTAGAACAGAAGTGTGATAAACAAATTCAAGTGTCATTCAAAAGGATATAAACAAAATACAAAAATAGCCTGTTTATTATCATATTTTCACTCTACGCACAAACTTGGCTGTATATTTGCTTATCGTAAATTAACTTTATAAAAAAAGAACATTTATGTGTTTGCAAAGCAGATTTGTCATGTTGTATTCATTTGATTGACACAAATTTGATAAATTGAGTCTTTTTAGGTTACTATGTCTCACGACTTGGACGCCATTATGTTTCATTTTACCCAGACCATGCACGTCATGCCTGCGTTTGACGACATTACAGTTAAGCATCTAACCGAATGTGACAGAGAATCATCCCCTGGCTGTTGTTTCAACAAAACTTCCAGACTCGTACCTTTTTAGCTTCTCAAATGCCCTAAAAAGTGCTAATATACGAGCCATCGACAGATGCATTTCCATACTTAATGTTTTGATATTCCTTCAAATTGAAATTGGCTTTAACGAGACACACATGCACGTTTAGTACTCCCTATTCTATAATCATAATTGTAGTTTATTGTTATTTCTGTCATATTTACATAAGTGGGTCTGATGAGAGGTCCCAAACCGCTGCCTGTAGACACTCGTCTAGTTAATGTAAAGTGGAAAACAACTTATTTTTGGACAGAATTGGTTCTCGTACGGTCCACATTCTTTTCTAGAAACGTAAACCGGTATTTTCTGGTCCAGTTAAAAACATTGTCCTTCAAATGTATTTATACACAAGTTTATCTTTTAAAAAAGATCTACCGAGCTATCGCCGTAGCAATTTTTAAACACAAAAGTGAATGTTCGCGATCAACTGATGTTTAACAAGGCTTGAGTCTGATAGAGTTATTTTTTTTTTAATTATTATTAAAAATTCTATAATAAGTGTGGAACGCATCCTATTTGTCGCTTATCGTGTCTTGCATTTTTCTTAGCTTGGCGGTATTATCCAGGAAGGTGGTATAACCCCCCCCCCCCCAAAAAAAAAATGAAAAAAAAGAGATTTTTCTTAGCTTGGCGGTATTATCCAGGAAGGTGGTATAACTCGACGCAAGCTAGATCTATAGAATCTTGGCATTATATGACCCAAGTTTTTGTTGTGTAGTTTCACAATAAATAAAGAAATTTCAGAATCAAACAGAAAAGGCCAGTGTTATTTAATGACACAACGAAATAGTTATCGTACAATCTATCTATAGTAGTTTTTCACAAAATGCTAGACCCAAACTTCTCAGGCCTTTCCGACTAGCAGAAAAGTAACCTACATAATTGTATTACGTATATGGGGTACTAGATGCTATGACAGTCCCTCTTTTTACAAAAATTGAAATAAATGTTGGAATACCTATTATCTGTGGAGAATGGAGTTTAATTTAATTGAATGTAAAGATATTACTTAAAATATACTATAGAAGGGACTTTTAACTCTGTCTATTCTATATTTAAATAAAGAGGAAATGTATAAAATTTTAACATCCGGTGATGTTAATACATTCATGGTTGTTTTTCCGACCTCTAACGGAAAGACGAAATGATTCAATTGTGCTAGACCGTGAAGTTTTCCCAGAATGTCCGACCGTGAAGCCGAGCATGCGTACTGAAGAAATATGCAAATATGCACGTTCGAATTCGCTAGCAAAAACTTGACGAAATTTACGGCACGATGCTGCGGACAGACACGGTAAAATAGGTTACATGTATTCACAAACTTATACAAAGTACAAGCCATACTTCGCTCGAAATTTCTAAAGTCTGTTTTTGAGTGATTTTAGCACTGAAAACATAGTATATTTACAAATGAAAGTATCAAATCACGGGGGACGAGTTTTGTTTTTTTTTTAAATCAGTTGTTTCCCCTTTTCGTTAGTTGTTTTATGAGATTGCCATGTTGTAATACAATAAATTTTGTTTACGTTTGAATTATTGTTTATTTAACAGAAGGGATACCCAAGCAATGTCTTTACGTACATAAAACCTAGATATTTCATTGTCCCTCCTACGAGAACAGATTACATTACATCAGGAAATAAAACGCCCAGATCGAGTTCTTTTTTGTAGTCGATATGATTTTTTTTTTCATTTGCAAAATGTTCATATTAACGCAGTAAAATTAAATGCATGTCGTGAAACGTTTATTGTGTTTCATTTGGTTGATTTAGAATTAAGATAAATTTGGTTCCTCCACCATAAGATCATAAGATATAATATAAAATAGAGAAAGGTCAATTTTGTATATTAAAGCAAAAGCCACACGTATAATTTATTGGACCCAAGACTCCATAAATAACATAAACGTGACCAATCAAATAAATCTTTTTTAGGTTTCTGTTTGTTTGATTTACTGAAAGATAAAGTCATAATCATGCTAATATTTTTCATTTCAAGATAAAAGAAGCCAAACAAATATTCCATTTCATATGTAGGCTCGTCACATTGCTTTCGTTTTGCCGTAATTACATGGCGGGGAAGGCAAATGGGTCCACTTGAAGTGTTCTTGCTAGCTACTGGTTAGTGTAATGTCCCATTTATCATTCTCTGATTGACTTTACTCGCTCGAGTTACAACACAAGCATGGATATTAATCAAATCAATTTTCCATGTAAACGATACTATAAGGGACCTTACAAGACGTATGTGAAGAGATGGAATCGGACGGATAACAAATGCACTTATTATAAAAGTGAAGCTGATTAGTTTTTCTGGCTCTCACATGAAGGATTAGTCAAGCTATGTATTCTGTTGTGGTCCAGCTTATCGAAGAATAATTCCTCAAAGAGACTGGGTCCGATTACTTCCCTTTGCTTAACAAATAGAAGACAACGTTTCCCAGTTTGAAACAATTTTAGCATACCAGACAATTAAACGTTACTAACTGCGATTTCCTACCTCTGAATCCTGGAATAACTCCATGAAACTTTTGCAAAAAAGAATAAAGGAAGCAGCTTCCACAACTCCATTTTGAACTTTTTCTTTTAATCTTGGCGTTCCTGGATGCTCTAAAGAATTTGTTGGCACTCTGGGGCAGATTAGCAAAGTCGATATGCAGAATTAGTAACAGAAATAGCCAACAAACTGACACACATTACACTATTGATCTCAATCTCATGGGAGGATTTCCTTCGATGAAGGGTCATCACCCTTTTCCTAAACAGAGTATTCTATCGATGCCGGGATAAGAGCAGCACTGGATAAAACGCCAAGGGGGACAACCCAAGTTACCGGGGATTAGACTAGAAGTATCGTAAATTTAGTGTATCTGAACGAAAAAAAAGGCCTGAGATTTACCAATTGATGTTTGCAGATTTCAAATGTATCTAAGTCTTAACTCAATAAACATTATAAGAATCATTTATTTTTATTATATGCTAAACGTTTAATTGGGTGCTTGTGGTCTTGAACGTCCTCCGCCCCTCCAAATTTGTCTTCCTTTCGAAGCCGTATTTACAATGTATTCCATACTGGAAAGGTATAGAGATTGCGTAAAAAAATTCATGGTATCTAAAGAATAAAAATAACTTGTTTTCTGGAATTTAAACAAATAATTTTTACTATGTAGTAGTTGGAAAGCACTTTCATTTTAGAAAAGCTATTATGATTTTAAAGATACTTATTCGATTTTTTTTACTAAGCAGATGCACATGTGTAACATTACATAAACAATATCATCGTCACATTGTCTGCTCTATATGTTTGTGTGTTTACAAAATAGACCTATTGTTTACAGTATGTGCGGGTTTATGGAGGAATTATTGATAGAGCAACTTCCACGCTATCAATAAGTACCGAACGCTCTGTTAGCTACTGTACTACTCACCACGAAATATCACGTGGGCGGGAGAGACAATTTTATAGCGAAATTCATTGGCGAAAACATCGTGTCCATTTCACTTTAGTTATTGTTCGTTTTTGAAAAATAATTATTATAATAAATAATTAATTTTTTTTCAAGACATGATGAGCATGACAAGTATGTATATAATTATTGTAAAGGTTATGCAAGTATGTAGAAAGAGATTCACGATGCATCTATAGTATACAAAGTAATTCATTTGGATTTGCTCTTAATATGTAATTTTGTTGTTTCATCAAGTAAATAAATACAATCATGTATATGTATTACCTGTATTTCACAATTGTAAGGAAAGACTACTAATTAGGCATAAAGAAAATTCTAGTAAACATAGATAATACAGATGTTATTCTTAATTCATTTGAAAATAATCTCTTTGCAATTATACATGAACATACATATTTTTTTGAATTCAAGATAATTTGTACACTGACGTATATGATAGATATTTTCATACACAGTTATCTCTAGTTTCAGGTGGTTCCCGACACATGATTTAACTAAAGGATAAAAACAAAACATACACAAAGTAAATACATACACGTGTTTAATTAAGTGACGTTATGCACGTACCTTAATACTTTTTTCTCAGTTCCTTCATTTTGTGCGATAACCACGGAGAATCCAGCAATGAGCTGTAAAATCCACTTCCATCTCGCCATCTTTTCACGTTGCTCTCCCTCCCTCACGACATTGAAAATTCGGAACCGTAATATTTACAATTGGATGAACAGATTCTGGAATCAAATTATATATTTTCCTTGTAGCGAAGTTAAAACAGTTGGCAGAGAGCCGAGGATCTTTTTTTATCAATCTAATCACCAGTCGTAACTTCAGTTAAGTACGTTCCCTTCGCTGGTGTTTGAGAGCGGACGATGAAAGACGCGCTAAATTCAACATCCGAACCCGACCGGTTCTGAAATATGTATTTTCGCTTAAAAATCAATGACGACAGCGTATTATAGCTATTTGCAATGCAGCATGTATGTACCTTTCATCGTTATAGATAATCCGTAGTTTGATTAAAATGAAAATTAATCAGCTTAAAGGATTCAAAACTTTAAAGATAACTGCAGTATTCAACATCATAATATTGAATACAGACTGTTTCAACATCATTGATAGAGTAATCAATTTCAAATTAAAACTTGTTTGAGATATAGAGGTTCTTTATCCTACGGCTAAGTAGGCAAGAACTACAAGTACACGTATATGAAAGTCCATTTACAGAGGCAATTTGCTCATCATCTTATCCAGTACTTTAATTTCACCATTTAAAAAAATAAACATTCACTTTTAAAGCAAACATGAGAAACAAAATAAAACACCAAATTGAATTATTAAATTAGAAGAAGAGGCTACCCTTTAACAAATTAAAACAATACATTTAGTACAAAAAAACCCGGGTCACTCAACCTACCAAATCTAATCAAATAATTAATTTTTCAGGAGGACTTAATGAGATCATTATTATCCGAACTAGTAACTGTAAACATAAGCATTAAATAAAAGAAGTTTTGGTGTGAACAATGGATCGTTTGGCTTCGCCGCGTTTATTGGTTTAGCAGAAACAACTATCATCGGTAAATAATCAGGCACGGAATACAGAAAAAAATACAATATCCAGAGATTACAGATGGTTGGTATGCGCTCTGCTCACTGTCGCTATGACCTGTTTTTCGCTATCTTGAATCAAATATAGGTAAAATTTAACAAAAGAAAAAAATTATGATAAGAAATCTGGATTATATGCAGAGAATACTGAAAAATAGTCTTAATAACATTCGACTTTGGTGTCAACCCGCAAATGGTGCCTACATCTCTAAACTTATTCGAGCTCCAAGAGCAAGCTCCGAGCACGATCAATTTTTAAACCGACACGGGCTACAGACAGATAAGTTGACGTTAAAGGGGTTACATCAACCGCATTCGCATTTGTATGGTCGTTATTTGACCTTGCTAGGAAATATATAAATTATATAAGTATCCTTGGGTCATAATTAAGCTGATATGTTTCAAACAAATTGTTAGGCTTTTGTTTTTCAACTGAATTCGATTACTAAGTTTCCGTATTCCTGATCAATACATATGACATGGCTACAGGGGATACTTAGCCCTACTATGCACCTGACCAACCTTCTGAATTTGTGGGAGTCTGTGTTTGTTAGTGCTCTGGTTAAAAATTTGTATAGTTTAATAACTATAATTAAGAGTCAGTAAAATACTGCATATTTGTTAACGTGCTCTTTTTCAAGTGAGAGAGACTTAAATATTCATTTTTGCATTTCTGTTCGAAAGTCCCCAACTGTTGTTGTTAAAGATTTGTATAGTTTCACACACGTTGGTGTAACTTATTATCTGCTCCTCTGACACTCATTAACATTTTTTTTGCTGACATAAACGAAAAATCGAAACATGTGTATATATTTTGTGTATACATGTACTTATATTAGGGATCAATTCATGTTTTTGTATTACAATGTACTATATTTTTTAAGTTCAAATAAATGTTACCTGATACTTATAAATGTATTTAAGAAAAGAAGCTCAGTTTTATCCTCGTACCAAAACATATGTTTTTCTCAGTTTATCAAAATAATTTTTTGTAAATAAATTATAACTCGTTTTTTCTTTAAACTATAAAAAAACATTAGTAAGAATACCAATTACAGTCACGAAGAAGTGTTTATTCCGAGGATTAAAGTCAACAAGGTTAAATCATTCATTCTAACGCACAATTATTGCGCCACCAAGACATCAACCAAACTAGAAATAACATTTTATCAACTTTCACCTTAAACGGGATCAATTCAAACAGAGGGTTCTTGGTGTCATTGTTTGACGTAATTCCCTGTCTTAAATGAGGGAAGTCCGACAGAGTTTGTCCGTTAAATTGATTTCACTACATTCGCCAGGATCTCTTCTCTTCAAGCTTTATTAGCAGCTTGACCAAATATTGCGAAACACAATATGCAACTGATGGTTTGTATTTAATTAGCGTGATTGATTCGGGCTTCAGAAAAATTTATAATCGATGTATCTTGGTCCTAATGACCATATTTATCGTTTTATCAAACTCTTCCCAAGAAGCCACCGCTGCCAAATCTTCGTCATCTCCTTCTTTTATTATAAAACAGACATAGCAAGGGTTTTATAATTCACCGAGCCTCTGAATTTTACAAATACGCTGTTTTATTATTCTGTGATATTTCTTTATGGCTGTTACTCAACTGACTAATAGTCTTGTTAATTAGCCATCAATTTCCGAGTAAACTATATTTAAAGCCTCGCCAGACAAGACATTGAGGGAGATTTCTCAAGATAAGTCAAAAATAGTACACAGCAGGAGACAAAGATGAACAATATTAGTAATATCAATAAATAATATCAACCCGAATTATCTCCATATAAAGTTATGTATGTCGTCATTATTTTTTATATCCATCATGTAAATATGTCGGGTTCCTTTGAAATGAAACTGTAACATCCTAATCATTGACATCTTGTTTTATGAGAAGTTGTCTAACATTCTCCAAAATTGGATCCATTTCGGCATATTTTTCCTTTCAAGTTGAAGAAAGTGTTTTGTTTTTTATCAGATAAATCATATTACAAATAGAAACTAAGTGATCCAACAGTAATACTTGGTTAGTTTAAGAGGCCCATGGGTCACAATGCTCACTCTTGCTTAACAATAACTTTTCATGATTTTCATTAGAAGTTCCTTTTTCTCTTTATTCCTACGCAAATCTTTGATTACTGTACCAATTGAAATTGCATTCTTCATAATTTGAACAAACTTGAATACATATATAGACTATCTGAGAATAATTCTTTTTAACTCGGCAAAGCGTAGCTTTCCTGTTTTGTAAAGAGAGTTTTAAAATATCAGTGTATTCACTATTCCTATGTAAAACAAAATTCCCTTTCTAACTTTGGGGTTAATGATTTGGACAAACCTGAATCAGCACTTCCTGTTGATTAATCTAGAATATTAATGAAAATGGCTTTGCTGTTCTTGACAAAAAAGATTTTTCTTAAGTTTTGGTTTAATCTTTTAAGATGTAAACCTTTGATTGCATATTGTGGTCCCACCCTACCCCAGCGAACGCACATCATTGAGCTATCGTTGCAAACCTTGCAAAACTTGTAAACAACATCATTTAACCAAAAAGTGCTCTATAAATCTTATCTCCATTTTTATGCCCCCGTAAACGAAGTTTCCGGGGGGGGGGTATATAGTTTTTGTCGTGTCCGTCCGTCCATCTGTCTGTCTGATTGTTTGTCCGCAAAAACTTTTACCTTGCCTATAACTTTTGATTTAGTACAACTATGACTTTCGTATTTCACATACATGTATATATGTAATATATTCCTTGTGACAAGACCTTTCTTTGGGTATCACCAAATATGACCTTTAGAACTTGGAGTTTGACCCACTTTTCCACAAAAAATTCCAAACTTTTACTTTGGTAATATCTTTTGAACAGTAGATACCAGGACTTTAATACTTCATATATTTATTCTTTGTGAAAAAAACTTTTCATTGGATACCAACAACTTTGACCTTTTGACCTTGATCTTGGAGATTTCCGTTCTTATCAAAAACTCTAACCTTGGCCATAAATTTTGAACTGTAAAGGGTCAGTGCTTTCAAACATAAGTAATCATTGTGAGAAGACCCTTCATTGGATACCAAGAGCTTTGACCTTGACGCTTGACCAAGTTTTAAAAAGCAAACCTTGACCATAACTTTTAAAGGGTTAGGGCTAGACTAGTGCTTTCATACTTTATATATTTAATCCTTATGACAAGGCCTTTCATTGGATATCAAGAACTTTGACCTTGGGGATTGACCAACTTTATAAAATGTTTAACTTTGGTCATAACCTTTGCACAGTTAGGGCTAGGGCTTTCATACTTCAGATATGTGATACTTGTGACAAGACCTTTCTTAAGAAAACAACAACTTTGATCTTGGCCCTGGAGTTTGACCTACCTTTTAAAAAAACTCATCCTTGGTCATAACTTTTGAACAGGTGGTGCTAGGGCTTTCATATTTCAGAATTGTATTTCTTGTGAGAAAACCCTACTTTGGGTACTAATATATTTAAATTGCATTCAAGAAAAGCTTAATCGTCGCTATTGCGCTATTGCGCTGTTTAACAAACACATCTTGTTTTTGTTTGTTGTTGTTGTTTGTTTTTTTTTGAAAATGTAATGCTCGTTCCTTTGAGTTCAAATGCACATAAATCCCGATTTAAAATCGGTATTGCGATAAACAATAGCTAGAGATAATTTGTATTAAAAAAAACATGTGTAAAATGCCTCATTTTGTATCAAATGACGCATTTAGCCATACTTCTAAATATGTGTCGCTTCAATGAAATTTAACTGTTCATCTGCGCCCTGGTTCCTGTTGAATCCAAATCAAAAGCGCCTTCCATCTTCGTATCCGTCTTCCCAATTCATTCGAAGAATAATCTATGCAAAGTTTTGTAGAAATTGGCACACTGGTCCCAAAGTAGTCCGAAATATCTGACGTTTTCCTGGCTTTTTTATGATTTTGATTTTTTACGTGCCAGGAAAACGTCAGAACCGGCGCCATTATGAAAACCAGGAATTTGCCGTCTTCAACTGATTTTCAATACATGCAAACCGAACCAAATGCCAAAATTTTAATTTATCAATATAGCACAATGTCTCTATTACTTACCAATATCGATAAAAAGAAAATATCACTCCACATTTCGTTCCAGGACTTGCAAGATTTTAAAATGCACAAAATGAAGACAAATCTCGACAGTGTGATGAAATGTTTTCATCAGATTGTATATTCTGTAAATGAACCATAAAAACGATATTGGTAAGTACTAAAAGTATT